CTGCGTTGTTTTCATATACATCGTACAGCTTGGACGAAAGCATCTCCAGAAGTTCCTCAAACTCCTGAAGTTGCATCAACTTTTCCTCATTCTTTTTCAGAAATGCGACGGCGACACGCATGATCGTCTCGGGTGCTCCCTCCGTGAAGACGACATCATAGATTCGAAGGACCAACGGCAGAGGATACGTGTACGCAAAAAGCGACAGGAACCATTGTGAGGCATACATGGCAGCATGGATCGAATGGAGCGAGAGATGGGCGTGGAGCATTGGGAGTTGCTCTGAGAGCAATGCCGAGAACTGATAGAGTCGGAGCTGAAGTCCTTCCATATTCATTGTAAACATGGTCCGCATGTCGTACGTCTCCATCAATCGGACAAACACACAAAACGCCTCCTTCTCGCCCATCTAGATTTTTTTTGTAGGGTCGTCCATAAGAGCACACATTAGCATCAAATCTTTCAAGAGCATTATCACGAAATTGTAAAAGGTTTTGAAGCCAGACTTACATTCATGAGGAGTGGTCCAACCAAGAATCCGAGGCCTTGGCAGTATCCAACATGAGGATCATAAAGTGAGTAAGCCTTGAGAACATTGCGAAGACTCTCCTGTCCTTTGTCTCCTTTCTCCTTGAACATATCGATCTGAGGGAATGTCCTGGCAAGATCCCGCTGAATGATGCGCTCATAGGGCGAATACTCCTTGAGGAGCTGGGTATACATGGTCTCGAGGTACGTCGATGAGGCTTGGGACATGGACTGCCAGATCAGTCCACGGAGCTTTGAGGGCAGCCCTTGACGCACACGAGCTGCCAGCAGATGTGGTAACTTGCTCGCCACCGCGGTGTAATCCTGCACAAGCATCCCCCAGAACTCCCAATCAATCTCCTCGTCACCTTCCTGTGGCTCCAGTGCCTTGGAATCCGACGACATGGGGTCGACGGCCTCGGAGTTGGGGCTGTTGGCTGTTGTAGAATCCGCGATAAGACGCTGAAGTGTGTTGAAATTTCCCTTGAGGACATTTGATTCAATACAGACTGCCTTGGGGTCGGTGTCGAGCAATCCGTTCTGTCTCTCCAGTCTAGCCAACAGAAATGATGTTGAATCCTATTTAACCAAGTATCGGTATTGGGCAGAAGTATTAGAATAAATCCTTGACATGTTGACACGCTCAAAAGCATCAATTCATAGTACGAACCTGTGGTGGCAAGATATTATTCTGCTCCTCCAGTTTGTGCAGAAGGGTAAAATCGACAGTATTCTTAAAGATTTCTGGACGGCTGTGAACACCCTTGAGCTTTGCATAGTGGTTCATGGGCTGAGGCAGCAAATAACCCAATGTTGTGCTCCTATTCAACCTAGCCCTGTCTGCTGCTGCAGCGGAGGATGTGGAGAGGAAGGATACTGATGAAGAGGTTGTAAGACCGGACTTGCCGCTCAGGTTGGTATCCAACTCTGACGAGGCATTGTCAAGGATTTCGTCTAGCATTCTCTTAAAGGCCGCAACGTGGTCTTCTTCAGTCGGTGCAGGTACTGATGATTTCGTGGAGCCTAGAGCGAAGAATACGCAATTGGTAATGGAGTATGTGAGTACAATGACATTTCCGCCTTTTTATATTTTTCTATGGCCTTTACCCAAACCCTGAGTATGTCGCGTGTGAAATATTGGGTATCCTCCGCATGCAGGATAATGCGATGTTGAGAGGAGACCTTTTATGACACGTCATCAGTATGGGGTAGATGGAGGAAAGCACAGGCAGAGTAAAGGGAACAACGTGGCCCCCGGGAATGGAATGGCAAATGGATTGATATAGTATGGAATGGTGGTGAGGAGAGGGGATCCAATGCTTCACTGCTTTAATACAGCACAGCACAGCCCGTCTGTGGTTGGTGATGTTTTGTCCCACAAGATGTGCCTGAGCGGTTGTATGTCCTTGTGTGACCGGTGATCGGATCGGCTCCTGTGTTATAAAGAGCCGGTTATGTGCCTATCCATGGTCCATGATTCGTGGTATGGTGTGTCCATGTAGCCATGGCGCGGTATGGTATTGTATGCTGTCTAGTCCATATGCATGACTCTGTAGAGAGCACCATTACTGGACTCTTCTTTATCTCTCGTGCTCTGTGTCCTAAGCTGGGTCACCCAGCCAATGCATTGTCCGCCCATGCACCACTGGGCAGATCCTAAAATAAACAAGTTCTTCCCGTACGTTCCGAGTCTTTTCTTTTCCTCTCTTTGCTTTTTCATTCGCTTTCTTCTTCACCACACACTCCTACACAGCCGCATTGATCAATCCGTAGTAAATAAATACAACGATAAAATAAAAGCGCGCGAGCACAGCCATGAGGATACAATGAATCAGGGGTAAAAGATAGCGAGAGAACCGACATGAATATGAACTGCGCATGGTGAATTGACACATCAAGGGGAAGAAAGAGAGAGAGAAAGGGAGAGGGGAGTTCTTTTTGGCACGAACTCAAATGAAAAGACGAAGGGAAAGAAGAGACTTACAGCGCGGTGTGTTTGAGGATGAGATGGCAAGAGGAGGATCAAGGATGGAAACTCGTTTTAGGATCGGGGTGGTATCCGAGGTGGTGTCCGGGCTGGTGTCCAGGGTGGTATCCATGGCTGTATCTGAAACGGTGTCCGAGATGGGCATTATCTGGGGCTGCGTAGGGGTGGAGGGGGACTCGGTCTCGAGGTCAGCCATGGTATGTATGTATTAAGAGTGTGAGCTATTAATGGTAAAAGGGCACAGGGAATTGATAGGTGCTCGTGCGAGATGGAACGAGAGAAAGAGAGGGGAAGAGAGGGAAGAGAGAGAAGAGAGAAAAGAAAGGGAAGGGCGGCACTGGGGTGATGAAAGGAAAGGGGAGCGGAGGGGGATCGAAAAGAGGATGAGGAAAGAGCGGGATGAATGAGCAAAGGGCTAAAAAGAATGAGGGATGAGAGATGAAAGAGATGAGAGGTGCGAGTGAGACAGGGAGGGAAAGCTGAGCGAAGCGGGGGGGGGCGACGGCCGATAAAGAAAACAAATCAATGCTCACAAAAAAAAAAAAAACCGCTCCAGCAGATGCGGGTAACCCATCTGTTGTATTTACTCCATCTCACGAAGGGTGTCGTCTGTATATATAAATACCATACGAGGATGCGCTAACTGACAAAGCAGGACGAGTAACACCGTGTTGCTCTCCATGCTCTTACTATCCTGCTCCCAATGGTCATGATACCTAATGCTGGTGCTGACGATCGTCCGCTGCAGCATCCACCCTATACATCCTATACATCCCATGTTATCCACGTCGGACACGTTGCCTCGCTCCCTTACACCCACCCACGGGTTATTCCTCTAGCTGTCTGTCTGTCTCCTGTCGGAAGGGATGGGGATCTGGATTATGCACCATGCAACAGAAGACAACGGAAACACCCCTGTGGTCTACCAGCATTAGCACCAGCATACCTCGTTATCGTCACATAAAATAGAACAGGCCGTCTCCGCAACAGACAATTTCAACGACAGGCAAGGGCAACCCAGTGTGCATACTATGGAGTCCATAGACTGAATCGAGTGCAAACCGAGGACTGAATTTCCGGAAAGATATGCGGGAATGAGGAGGAGGTCACCACATTATCCATTGGATGGCTCATTGGATGCCGCCTTAGATCTCTTTTTGCTCACTACTGGCGGTCTTTTTTTTTTTTTTTTTTTTTTTTTTCTTTTTTTTTTTTTGGCTCTGTCTCCTGCCTGGCCTGGCTCTCAACTCGAGATGCATTACCACCCCTTGCACCCACATGCTTTCCTATCCAGCAGGACAGGTTCCTCACCCGCGGTTATGAAAGGAGGACGAGACCTTTTTTGTTTTTGTTTTTTTAGGGTGTGCGATATACGCATATCCCGGATTGGCATAACATGCACATCCAAACAAACAGCAATTGGAGGTGGTGCAACCCAACCTAGTCAGTCAGCCCAGCCCTATAAGAACCCCCAACAGCGAGCGGTGGTAACACAAATACCTTCCCTTTCAAAAAAAAAAAAAACGTGGCAATGAACAATTTTACAACTAACAGTTTCTTGTAGGCGTACAAGTTTACGACTTTGCCCACGCCGCCAAAAAAAAAAAAAAAAAAAAAAAAAAAAAGGTGCACAGCCTGCCTTGACTTTTTTTTTGGCTGCTACTGCTTGCATTTTCTTTTCGTCTTTGAATGTATCCCAATTTCACCCCTCGACGAACCCCCCTCCTCTCGTATGCACGTACGTACTTATGTACACAACCACATATTCTTACCCCTGTCGCTCTGTTGGCCCCTGTCCCCTCACCCCTTTTTCCTTGTCTCTCCCTCACCCTTTTAGACCGTTGATCCCTCATTTCTGATACAACATTCCTACTCGTGTTGCTGCGCCCTCCTACCAAGTCACTGCAAGGGCTGATACCTGGTTCTTTGTCCTGGTTGGCCCCGACTTGGGTGGGAAATGGGGAAGAGGAACACCATAATAATTAGGTTCTCTTCATTTCTTTTTAACGGCAATAGGGAGTCAAGGGATGTTGTCATAGACGACTCACCTTTGAGAGCAACAGGCCGTTGCAGGTACTGAATGTAGAGACGTGGGGAAACGTAGTATGTATGGATATAGCTTTAAGGGACGAGTGAGCAAGGGAGAGAAATGAGACAAAGGTGGGAGGGATGGGAAAGAGAGGTTGGACCCGACTGGCAGGGTTGTTTTTTTAGGAATAAGGAGGAAGTTGGTGTTCTCCCCTCCCCAGCGATCGTAGGTGAAATGGGTAATATAAGAAATATAGGAAATTAATGATATCGATAGAAGGAAAGGGACAGTAGTAGAAAGGGGGAGCAGCAATATGGCATTAAAGATGAATAAGGTGCTCAATGCTCTCTGGCATATTTGGTTCCCTTGTGGGGAAATGAAGAGAACCACGACTAGTCACCCTGTAGGGAACAAAAGTAAAAGGTGTAGGGTAAGGTAACAGGAGTCGGCCGTGGTACGCGTCGAAGTATCCAAGCAGAAACAAGAAGGGTGAAGACGAACAAGAGTCGGCGTCGGCATCCATTCCAACCAATGTCCATCCAATATCGCTCTCTCCTCCCTTCGCTCTTTCTTTATTCTCGCCTCCAGATCCTGGTCCTGGTCCTGGTCCTAGTCTTGACCTGTTTCTGTCTTCACTTCATGCCCCTCTTTGTCTCTGCCCTTCGGCTTCTTTTAGAATCCGGATCCTTTCCAGTCAAGGACACCATTGAAGCAACCAATCAGGCAGATAGGCTATTTCCATCAAATCATCCACTGCGCCGTCGTCAGATCTTCATTGAGCATCGCCCTTTTTTGTTAGTTACCCTGCATTCCAGTTCGGTACCAAGCATCAAGTGCCCCGGTCTTTTTTATTTTTATATTTTATTTTTATTTTTTTATGAGTGTATACATTTTGAGTTGACCGGGCAACTCAGGTCAACTCATTTTGACCCTTAATAATGTCTACTCAAATGACGGGAGCAACTACACAAGGTGTAAAAAAATAACAAACGGCGCAAACGGCCTTTCCCCCCCTTACTCGATCTCTGCACCTCTCACCTCACGCAGCCATTCAAAGTGTTGCACTACCTGCAGTTGAGACAGCCCTTTGCAAAGGGATCCAACAAATATTATTCGGCTGCGATGGCCGTACGCCATTGAGCAGTGGGATTGAAAGAGGAGAAGAGGAGACATGCGCTTTATCCTTTATCGAAGATATGGATCAAACCGTACCAGCACCATGTTCTGCCACTTCAAGGAGGTATGCATTAATGGAGCTACACTTACGCCAGGCGAAGAAGAACAGGCGAAGGAGACCGGGCTGATGCTGAGCTTGGTACTGCCTATGAAAGCGAATAATGGAGTAAGGGAGTGAGTTGGAGCGTAGGAGTGAGAAATGGGATGGATGATCCAAGTCTGTCTTTATTTTGGGCGCAGGCGCAATTTAAGTTGACCCAGGCGTTATTTTCAGCTGTTTAAAGCAGTGCTTTATTTCGTCTGAATGCGTTTGAACACGTCTTTATAGCACAGAAATGGCTCGCCAACCATTTTAGTATTTCCTTTCCTCCTCACTCCCTGCCAGCATGAAAGTCTCTTTGCTATTGCTGCAGGCAAAGGCAATAGCGATGAAGAAGAAAGAATGTCTTCCGCAGTGGATGTCTCTTTGTGGACCTCATGTTCACTGTGTCCTTATCGTTTATTCTTGTCTTCTCCACGAGGAGTCGGGCTTGTCGAATCGCAATCGCTTGCACGCACTGGTCGAGGTGATATTAGTATATTTCGCATTAGAGACAATGTTCTTGTCATTTCATAGAATAGTGGGGCTGCGTCCACCGCCTCTTCCCTGCTGCAGTAAATATGAACTGTGCAGCATAACAAACGCATGTTGATGCTGCCAGTGTTTTATGTTTTCCGAATCTGATGCAAACTTTATTGGCAGTGCTCGCTTGGGCTGAGTCGCGTGTGGTAGGTGCGCTGTTTGTTGGCGCTCCTTTTTAAGGTTGTTCAGAAACCACGCGAACAGAACATCAGCAACCTTCAACAACCTTCAACAACCTCCAACAACCTTCAACAACCTTCAACATGAAATTGGTGGCAACATGTTCGCCACCATGCACTTTCGCTGTCAAAAGTACACTCATCGCTGGCAAAGGCGATGTTGATGCAAGTTGGGCTCAAGGTGGACAGCGCTGAATGACGATTCCTTTTTTCTCTGATGAGCCGTGCGCGTTGTTCGCTCACTCCCAGGCACACCCTCACTACCGTCTCGTTCCCCATAATCCGCCCCCCCCCCAGTTCCCAGCGGCCATATGAGCCCTCCGGTCTCCGTGGACCCCTTGCTATCGACTCAGCCACCGACCACGCGGCACATTTAAAGTTCGACTTTGTTCTATCTCTTTCTTCCCCACCTCCTCCACCTCCACACTCTTCCCCACTCTTCACTCTTCCCCACGCGCTCTACGGCAAGTTCTTTCCAGGTACGTATGATATAAGTATATAAGTTATTTTTCTTTGCTCTTCACCTTCCACTCCCCACCCTCCACCCCATACCTCTTCTCTTCACTGACGCAACCTCGCCTTTCGTCCTTTACCCAGTCCTACTCTCCTCCATCCCGTTTTCACCTCTTGTGCTCACTCTCGTCAGCAGCCCTCCTCCACACGCACCCTCGTCAGCAACCCTCCTCCACATGCACTCTCGTCAGCAAGTCCATTCCACCACTCCCTAGATAGAAAATATAGAGGTCCCAGGAGTTTTGACTTCGATCCTGGGACTGTAACCCCTCACTTATTGTGTGCCCTCGGCAACCCATCCTAGGCTTTCAACCTGTGGATTATACCCGCTCCCCAGAGGGTTTATTAACCCTAGCAGTGCATTTGGGCCGGGAGCACCAAATTCCCCCACTCCCCTACTCCCCTCTGATTATCATCACCTCTGGTCGTGCCTTCGGGCCAAGGAGCTTCGCCTTTTCTTCACGCAAAAACAAAAGAGTTCCTGAGAATGTTTCTGAACCCTTTTTTTTATCCACTTGGTCTCTTTGGGCTTTGCGCGGTTTTTTTTTCGGAGTACGATGGCTTGCAACCTGCCCGTGGTGTACTCTGGACAACGTTTGCAATCAAGGTTGACTGATAGCAAGTTGAGCCGATGGTGCCGATAGGAATTGTAGGAATAACAGACAATGCAATAAAGAATGGCTCCTTCAAACAATCTATTTGAGTGACTTTATGGTGGCAATGACATACAAACGAGTAAACGAAGGCGCGTCTATCTGCCTGCTGTGCTAATAATTTGGACCACGACCTCTTCGCTGCGGTCTCCAAGGTAATGCGAAGGAGTCAACTTTATTTGGTAACGCCGGTATGGCAGCCTACTTTGACGGGGTCCTTTGCAAGCCCAACATGAATACCGCAGATCGTCTTATGCATGGAATCGTGTAATGTAACGCTGCTTCAGCCCAGACGAAAACGCAAACATAAAGCGCGAACTAGCGATATGTCCTTGCTAGCTAAAAAGGAGACCAGATTTTGATCTTGAACACTGGAAGTATCAGGCTAGAGTCGATAACGGAACGATTGTACAAAGATAATCTCGCGAATGCAGATCAGCATATTTCCTCAAGCAGGGTACATCAAACGATGCAACCATCGCCTGCTTGGTTACCCAAAGTGCTGCTTCTGGCACCAGCGTGCCGGTTAACTACGGTGTCTGGAGCCTTAAAGATTCAGAGCTGCTCGCACTAAACCATCCAGCCCATGTAAAAAAAAAAAAAAAAAAAAAAACCAGAGATCAAGAGATATCGCCTCAATCACGAAGACCAACCACACACCAGGCGGTTTAAAGGGTCGTATTCCTCAAGCAGGTGTTTTTTTTCTTTTTTTTTATTAGCATGAAGGCTGGCAAGTTGACCGGGCAACTCAGGTCAACTCATTTTCATCCTTTAATGTCCACTCAACTCAAATGACGCCTGGATCAACTCAAAGCTGTGCCTGCGCCCAAAAATAAAGACAGACTTGGATCATCCATCCCATTTCTCACTCCTACGCTCCAACTCACTCCCTTACTCCATTATTCGCTTTCATAGGCAGTACCAAGCTCAGCATCAGCCCGGTCTCCTTCGCCTGTTCTTCTTCGCCTGGCGTAAGTGTAGCTCCATTAATGCATACCTCCTTGAAGTGGCAGAACATGGTGCTGGTACGGTTTGATCCATATCTTCGATAAAGGATAAAGCGCATGTCTCCTCTTCTCCTCTTTCAATCCCACTGCTCAATGGCGTACGGCCATCGCAGCCGAATAATATTTGTTGGATCCCTTTGCAAAGGGCTGTCTCAACTGCAGGTAGTGCAACACTTTGCATGGCTGCGTGAGGTGAGAGGTGCAGAGATCGAGTAAGGGGGGGAAAGGCCGTTTGCGCCGTTTGTTATTTTTTTACACCTTGTGTAGTTGCTCCCGTCATTTGAGTAGACATTATTAAGGGTCAAAATGAGTTGACCTGAGTTGCCCGGTCAACTCAAAATGTATACTTTTATTTTTTTGTTCAACGCTCTCGCTGGACGTGCCAATGGTGTATGACAATGGTAGCCAACAAATTAACTCTTTGTATTACTAAATATACAGTGGCGATCAAATGAATGGGTAGAAGAACCCGACAAGAATCAGCAGCGGAATTGGGAATGAAATACCGTGGAAATGCAATTGCGAGCAACCTATTATCATTTTACGCATATGGCAGTAAACATGATGGGGCGCTTTGCTTTATTTTTTTTTTTATTTTTTTTCTTTCAACTTTTTTGAAGTGCCTTATCCATGTCCATACATTCCATTATGTCGCTGTTGCTGCTCCATCATCCGGTGCGCCTCCATCTCCCTTCTCGTTCGTTCTGCCCTCTTCAGCTCAAATACCTGGTCCATCGCCTCCTTGAAGCAGTGCACATTGTAGTCGATCAGCCCTTGTTTCTCAAACGTCTCCGCCCTCAACAAACAGATCAGCGCCAGATACTTGTTAACCTCCCGCAAATACAACACTGTCCCATTGCCAAGCTTGATCACCGAGAACGCCTCGTGGTTGCTGCCATTCTGTGTCGCCGTTGGCTGGTTGTTCAAAGATCCTGCCCGACTGCTAGTGCTAACCACCGTCTGTGATTGATTGTCATTTGCACCTCCACGCTGACCGTTGCTGGCCCCATTGCTATTTTTGTGATCATCCTGTACATTCGTCCAGTCATCATGAGCGTCCTGCTGATCTTCGAGATAGGCCTGGCTCTTGGCTCCAATGGCTGCCCGTCCGTATATAGACGAGATATCGATGATCACGTCAATCATGTCGCTACAAATCTCGTAAGACTGCGAGTCCACAGGAGACGAATCCGTGGCAATGTAGATCTTCGAAATCACATCGAACAAGAACGCCTTTTCAATGCCAGAGTTCTATTGCGCGCCAAAGAAAAAGAAATTCGTCAGTTGATGTGTCCATGTCCATGTCCATATGCCGAAAGTGATAGGTGATTAGATAAAGGCGTGACATACCGCGCAAAGAATGTTGAGCAGATTCTCGAGGGTGGGCAGCTGTGGGATGAGTTTTTGGATAACCTTGGAGAAGGCTTCGAAGATCGAGTGGTCGTAGATCGATGTCAGATAGAATGCCAGCTGCACATTCTCCAATCCAGCGTCTGCCAACTCGTCCGTCGTCGTCTGCTGAATATCTCTTTGGGTATCTATATAGGGATCGTATAGGATATAAATTAATGCATATTAGATCCTTTGTTGCTCAGATGGTATGCAACCCCTTGTCCAGATGCTTATCTCCATACCAATTTTGTAGTCTTCCGACAGTCCGTCGACTTTGTGGATAAAGACCTCGAACGTGATGTTTGGGTTCACACGGTAGGCAGCAACAACAGTCGAGTGCAGCCTTACCAAAGCGTCCATGTAGTCGTCCTAACAAGGTTCAAAAAGATACTCTCAGTTCATCAAGCCCATGCAGTCAATAATGAACACAACCTCCACAAGACAAAGATGATTCACATACCTGAGAGTCGATCACAAAGACCAGCGCCCCAACCTCGCCAAAGATGGCCGTTGTGTCGAACGTGGGATCGAAAAAATCCATTTGACCAGGGAAGTCCCACACCTGAAAATCTATGAATGAGCTGTTACAACGAAAAAAAAAAAAAAAGCATCGCAATTGTCGTTGTTAAGGATATGAGATAGAATTGGCAACAGATCTCCTATACCTTGAGACACTATGGGAATGGGCATGCAGTTGAACATACTGGATATTGTCCTTGTTGATCTTTGAAGTACTCTCGAGGAACAGTGTCTCCGTGGGGGACATCTTGTGAAAGACCACGCGCTGAATGCTTGATTTCCCGCTTCTACTCAGCCATAAGAAAGGATCATCAGAAAGTGCTTGAGTATCGGTCACTCAATGACAGCTCAATTGCTCTGAGGAAACAATAAGACTCTTTCCCATGCGATGAATAGGCAGCAACGTACCGCCTCAGCCCCATCAGCATAAGTCGTGGACGCGACTCGCGGTCCTCGTCCGCAAGATCGTCGCCATAGCTATTAAAGGCATTAAAAAAAAAAAAGAGAGAGACACGCGGTGAGTCAGGCGAAACAAAGAACAGGCACGAGGCAGAGAATGATAAAGCATTCCTGCCAGTTTGGGTCATGGCTGCCACACAAGTTGCTGTAGACTTACATCGGGTCATTGTCACCGTAGTCAGAGTACTAGAGATGGATGAGTTGATAAAGAATTGCCATTCAGTCATCATTCATCTCAGGAGAGAACCCCTCCCCCCCCCCCCCCATGGACATTTTGATGGTGCCCTTAGTTGGCGAAGAAAAAAAAGAAAAAAAAAGAAAAAAAAAGAAAGAAAAGTCGCGAGCGAGAAAGAGGGATGTGTGCTGTTGGTGTTTCTGTACACATACCGACATTGAGAGTGCCTGCCTTGTGTTGCGTTTGCGGGGAAGAATGGGGGAGCAAAAGAAGGTCTTGACGAATGGGGAAGATGTGGAATTGGTCCCAAGGTACCGCCCCAACCCCGCTTTCAGTCTGACTTGCACTGCAAGCCACCTTCTTTATTGGCTCGGGCATCGCGTCTCTTGCCCTCTCAGCGGCCAAGGCTTTTGTGGCATTAGCCAGTTTGAATGAGGATACATGTACATACTTACAAACACCCTTTTTTTATTATACGAGCGAAGCAATTGGCATGATTAGGAGAGTACTTTGTGTATATCATCGTCGTTCTAACTGGATTTACTGTGCCTGACAGCGACGTAAGGCAGCAGGCCCCACTTCCATTCCATCGACGGTGTACGCCCCAGGTTTTCTGCCCGGTTATAGCACACGAGTAGCGTCACCAGGTACGAGCTTAACGATGCGCCCACATGCCAGAACGCATGCAGCTGCGGGTTCCACAGCCCCACAACAGCCAGCTTCTGCATCGCATCACACATCCGAAAGTCGACGTTCCAGAGCAAGTACGATACCAGAGCCATCGTCGCCGTCGTCTTCCACATCCGTCGGATTCCCTGGTCCTCGATTCCCCCATAGATCTTTACAATGTGCGACATCACCACCAGCACCATAAATGCAAACGAAGACTGGAACACAACAAACTCCAACAAGTGGTTCCCTGGTCCCGCAAACATCATCACCAGCGTCGTCAGCAGTCCGTACAGCGCAATGCTAACCGGGAACCAGGTTCCGTATCGGCGATAGGATCGATCCTCGATGCAACAATAGGCCAATGATAAAACCGAATACACCATCGGTACCTCGTCCAACATCTGGAGCGGGAAGAGAAGAGTGCCGTGGAAAGCGATGGAGCCCAGGCCGACGACGGCGATGGATCCGAACGTGAGCAAGAACCGTTTCTCGAACGTCGAGTGGAGCCAGATCCCCGCCAGACCAACGATGATCATCGAGAACGACGAGATCGAGTTGAAGAATTCGGCGATATAGTAGTTGATGTCATAGTTGTTTTCGCACCAGTCTATCGTAGCAGTAGCATGAACAATAAACACACAACATGGTTAGCGCGATGGAGACATGTGCCCCGCCAGGAACAAAAGGACAGTTGTTGCTGTCTCCCTCCCTCCCCCCCTCCCCCTCCCCCTCTCCCGATTGTTGTTTGGGGCAAAGTGAGCAAAGACCGAATCGTTTCGTTTTCCTGGTATCATTCCTGTTGTCTTGCCCCGGGTCTATGTCTACGTTATTTATCATCGTGAAAAAGCAGCCCTAACAGAGCTACCTTTTTCGTGCCGCCCCATCCTATATCTGAGGATCGCATTGACCATTTTTCAAGACTCCTGAAACCGACAATTGGAGATGATAGCCACCATGACATATTCTCCTTTATCCTGTTACTGTACACATCGAATCATTCCAAGCACTCCTAATCCTCTTCCCCCCATCCTTTACAATTTCCTCCCTTTCCCTCAGGCACCGTGCTTTTTGATTGTTGCGCACTTACCAACTAAAAAAAAAAAAAAGAAAAAAAAGAGCAGAGAAAAAAAAACAGTCAGTCAGTATCCATTTTTCTATGAGCGTCCATCCTGAAAGTCGACTAGAACGATTCTCCGGCGAAGCAGAGTAGAGAGGTACACATTCATTTAATTTGGGCTTTGTGGAACCCTTGGAAGTGTGGGTCAAATCTGGGGTTGCCCTTGCATAGCTCATTAAAGAGAGGCTGCTGTGACACGAACCTGAGGATGTCGGAGGGCCCCAGTATCCGAGTGTGGGCAGGGTGCTGCTGCTGCTGCTGTCCCAGGTTGCGTTGGCGTAGAGGGTGTTGTATTCGGACGAAGACCTGATCATGTTCCTGTAACGAGAGTGTTCAAGGTGCCAAGGACTAAGAAATGGGTTAGGGCAAAGCGGAGCGGAGTGGGGTGAAAAGAAGGAGAGTGCGGAGAGTGGAGTGGAGTGGAGTGAAGTCGGGTGGAGTGGATGAAAGAACAAAAAGGATTGTGAGACGAGTAAAGTGTGCAAAAGGAATGAAGGGGGAGAAAAAAAAAAAAAAAAAAAAGCGCAGTTCGCTCCTCGATCAATTTATATCATTTATATCATTTGTATCTCGACACCGGCGCGTCTCCCTTCAAACCCGCTACGAAGCTGCGGTGTGGAGACTGCACTGTAACCCGCTGCCTGGGCCATTATTGGTCAGAGTATACCCGTCTCGTCATGGCCATGGTCATGGACGGCGGCGATCCGCCCCTCCCGAGACAACAACAAGGACGCATCACACGGCCCATTCTACGCATCAACGTATTACCGTTGGCCACTGCCCTGCGACCTTGCTTCTTCTGCGCTGCTACTCTGCCGAATATGCATAACTTTGCATATCCCCTCCCCCCCTCTGTTTTGTTGTTCTGTCTGGGTCACTCTAAGCATCCTGTCCCGTTGGTCATGCTTCGCGCTTCTGGGCCTGCAAAAATATAGACCATGATGACATCAAGAGAGCGCTGGGCCCGATCTGGGGACTCCCATGACACACTCACCTTGAACTGCGGATCCGACGACAGAGAATACCGAGGAGCACCGTCGTCCAGGGCCAGGGTTCCAAAGCCGTTTTGCACTAATTAAAAAAAAACGTAAAAGCCCGTCCACGCTACATGACGTCCGGTACTCGGGCGTCAGGGACCATCATTTCATCATTTCATTCTACATGTACCTGGGCGAAATGCATGGGTTATCCATTGACCCGCAGCCGCGGTAATAATATCTAAAAGTACCTTGAGTCCTCATGCTCCCTTCCACTCCAATGCATGCATGCTCAGCTGCGCTTTATTTTTTTTTATTTTTTTTTTTGCAAAAACGAAATGCCGCTGTTCGGTCCCCTCGGTGCTTAACTAATTAAATTATTAATGGTACTCGCCATGCGACCTGCTAAAGATCTTTTTCCGCTCCGTTGGACGCACAGGCACATGTCTGTCCTCTTTTGCTCCACACCATGATCCTTTTCAAGCTCGAATCATATCGCCTACTATAGGAGGGGGAGGGGGGGTAAGGGTCTGGCGGTCAAGCCCGAATCATATGTGGAAGTGTGAAAGCGCGTATGTACAAGAATCTCTTTTTTTATTGCCTCTCATCATGTTCTTGATTTTCTAACGTCCTTCTTCCCTCTCAATGTTTTCTCTCAACCAGAGCATCTCAACCATCGTGCTTATGCATGGCTGTGTCCACAGCACTCCTTCTTCTCCGTATTGATCTCGGATTCTGCTGCCAGATCGACCTTGAAGCTCGCCGCCTTTGGCACCAATCCAAGCGTCTCAAACATCTGCTGGTCCGCATTAAACTTGTTGTTGGGCGTCGTCAACAGCTTATCTCCCGTAAAGATCGAGTTCGCGCCCGACATGAAGCACAGGGCCTGCTCCGCCTCCGAGAATCGAACCCGTCCGGCCGACAACCGGATCATCGTCTTTGGCATCACAATACGCGCCGTCGCAATCATGCGGATCATATCCCACACCTTCACGGGCTCCTGCTTCTCCAACGGAGTACCCTCAACCGCCAACAGCGCGTTCACGGGAACACTCTCCGGGTGCGCGGGCATCGTCGACAGCGTGTGGAGCATACCCACGCGATCCGTGTCCGTCTCGCCCAAACCAATGATACCTCCAGAGCAGACAGAGATACCAGCCTCACGGACCTTCGAGATCGTCTCCAGGCGCTCATCGTACGAGCGCGTCGTGATGATCTTGGGGTAGTACTCCCTTGAGGTGTCCAAGTTGTGGTTGTATGCCGTCAATCCGGCCTCCTTGAGCTGGTTGGCCTGGTCATCGTTCAACATACCCAATGTGCAGCACACCTCCATGTCCATGGCCCTGTTCACGAGTTTGTCATATCGTTAGAACGTTATCAGTTGCTTACTCAATATCAATCAATTGACAACATCAAGATCGATCTGAAGCCCATACCTGATCTCCTTGACGAATCCGACAATCTTCTTGAAGTTGCTCTTACGACCCGCCAAGTCTCTCCAGGCAGCACCCATGCAGAAACGGGTCGATCCAGCGGCCTTGGCAGCACGGGCCGCGTTCAGGACCTCATCCGTGTCAAGCATCTTCTGGGCCTTGACGACGGTTGAGTAGCTCGAAGATTGTGGGCAGTACTTGCAGTCTTCACTGCATCCTCCGGTCTTGATGCTCAGGAGCGTGCACTGCTGGACAGCCAAGGGATCAAAGTGAAGGCGGTGGACATTGGCCTATGTTGTTTAGAAGAGAAACCAAAGCGGGTGTTAGATCCAAAGATCGGAGGTTTTCATTATTGGGTAACAGGTGATAGGGTGGGTGTGGGGTCTGAGGATGTGTGCAAGGGTGTGTTGGATCGAGAAAAAAAAACCGTCAAAAATAGAAAAAAGATGGGGCAATTGGTCAATTGGCTTGATAAACAAAATTGTAGGGTGATTAGATCCTCTCCGGCCCTGCGTGAACAAACTGTCATCGCGTTCCTGGCCCTCCTTTCTCCATTTTCCTCGCGTCGTGCCAAGTATAACTGTCATATGCGAAAATAAAAAAAAGAAGAAGACAAAGTATAATAAAGACCAGCAACAAAAACAACAAGAATAAAAAGAGAGCGGTTCGGCTTTCTACACTTTGAAGTGACAATCGAAGAAAAAAATTCAAAAAGCCAAATTAGCACCGAGAAAAGCCTGAAAGGACTAAGGGACTTACTCCGTGGTAGAGCAGCTCCATGATGGGTGAGTGATAGATCGCGTCGATCTCCTCCTTCTTCCAATCATAACGAAGCTCTCCATGGGCATTCAAGGCAGCGGCAGAGAGTTCGCGTCCAAAGGCCATCTGCGTCTGGGCCCTTGGGCTTTCGTCAATCGTCGCAAATTTGGCGGGGGAGGTCGCGACGGTGTAGGCACGGCTGAACTGGAAGGCGGCATTCTTGGAGTGGGAGATCTTGATTGCCCTCGAGGACAACGAACGTAATGAGGTGAACGACATGGCTGTTGGAGATGTTGGAGATGTGTAACGAAAGAGGAAAGAGCAGGGAGAGTGGGGAAAGAAAGGAGAAGAAAAAAGACAAGAGTTGGAGAGTTGAAGCGTGAGTATTTTCAGCGTGTTGTTTGTTGTATTCGGGGCCTCAATACGAGGGGTAGGGGGAAAAAAAGTGATTCAGACCATACACAGATCTCGCATCGGACAGGGACCAACCATTTCCTGCGGGGCTGTATGGCGCCACTCATACCGATACCCTGACGATCTATGGTAATTATCCATCCACATATACCTTGCCACGAAGGGACAATATCGGTAGCATTTCGTCATCGAGATCCAGGGTCATTGCTGGGGCAACAAAAAAATGGGCGACTCTATCTCGCTATGACTCTTATCAGAGATGCACCTTGCGCATGCGCATCAGTAGGGTGATATGCCAGCAGATCAAGAAACGCAAGCTGACGATGGGCCCCATCCCCCCCTACTCCAGCTTGGATCCTACGCGTGCCCATTTAGTATCAACGGCAACGGACCCCCATACCCCGGTCAAGGTTGACCCCGCATTCTCCGATATTTCTCACGGTCTGTGCCTTTATTTCCTCTCCGGTTCCTGAGATGGAAATAACAGCACTTTTATTTTTTATTTTCCGACTTCCGCTCACTAATTCTGAACTAAAAGTCAAGCAGACTGTTGTTCAGCGCACCTCCACGTCCTTGCCTTAGCTTTTGTCCGTGTCCATGTGTATGCTGGTGTCCCCCAGCATCCGGCCCTTCAGTACTACATCCAGAAGCCACTGCGCCCTCGATTCCTTTTGGTGGCAATCCCATCATTTTACGTGCCATCCCACTCGCGCCGGGAACAGAGTGCACATCGACCTTTCCACCGCCATTGTTGCTGGTACTGCTGCCGCTCTTGCCCATACCCAATGATCTCGAACGCGTGTTGCTACCCTCCGTCGACGCTGGCTTCCTAAGTGATCCTGAAGATGGTTCTGCACTGCTCGTAGAAGAGGAAGACGCCGACGATGTTGAAGATGTCGACTTGCGATCTGACAACGATGTCGATGCGCTGGACGGTTCTGCAGACGTCCGCCTCTGTCCTACACCGCCCTCCGGCGGCAAATGGAAAGTCTCGATTGCAAATCGCTTCCTCCGGACTTTGAATCCCAGGTTATTAACGCCCTTGCTAGATCCGCCGCTGTTGCCATGCCCACTAGGTCCTCCCGATCCTTTAGCAGCTCCGTCCAGCAAAACAGACAGCTTTGTGGAAGAAGGGATCAATGCATTTAAAACAGGTACTTTGTGAACGTGGAACAAGCCGTGGTAGTCGGATGCTGCAGATGAGGCATTAGTGAGAGCGCCGGCAAAGGATTCAATTCTGACAGAGGCGTCGCACAACTGTTCAAGCCGATGAATGAAGGGCGAAGTTGTAGAACCATCTGTCGCGTGTCGCTGATCAGCGGTACCGTAAAGGTGAGCTGGGATGGTGATCACAGCGGCGCCAAAACTGAAACGCAAAAGACCACGCAATGCATGCAAGAACTTGTACAGATCCTAACATGTCCAATAAAGACATACATATAAAACAACCGATGTTGAGCGACCACTGTAGGGCAAAGACTGTACTCTCGAAAATAAAGTGGCCCAATCATACCTGTGGAGTTTTACTTCTCCAGCTAGGAGATGCGATCGAGTTGATGCCGATTCTGCAGATATGTCTCTTTGATAGTCCAGCGGCACTTGGCGCAGGTGCAGGTTCTGAAGGGTCTTTGACGAGCGTGGTACTGAATCCACCTTGAATAACCGTCTCTCTGATCTTATCGAGCACACTCCTATACAAGTCCTGCTGGTTTCTTCCTGAACTATCGCTGTCATCCTCGTCCAGAGAGCTTTCATCGCTATCGATCCCAGAGTCCTTGCTAATGTCGCTGTTCATGCTCCTCAGCAATTCCCCCGAGTCGATCAGCGTCGTATCGGCTGATTCCAATGCCTTGGCTGAGATCCGTGTGGTAAGATCAAACTGCTCGCAGAACGGGATTTGACTGGGCGTGAGCCCTGTAGCCGATGATGCTGCTTGATCCACACGCGACGAAATGGCTAAAAGTTCAAAAGTTCAAAAGATTCAACTGCTTAGCTACTGGCATATGCTATTGAGCCACAACGCTGACAAAACATGGATTCCTACCTGGCTGTGGGCGACTTTCCACACCGCTCTCAAACTTCTTGAGCCCGCTATATCTCCATGCGATCTTTAGTCGATCCTGCTCCGAGTCTTCATCCTCTACATTTTGTGATCCGCTCAACTTCTTCCTTCGACCGCTACTGCCACGCTCATCATCATCATCCCGATTATCGACTCCCTGTTGGACCTGGATCGTTGAGCTCTCTTCGCCTGCGATCCCCATAAGGGACCTAACAATCGCCTCTGGTTTCTCATCGCCGCTGACAACGACACACTTGTCGCCCACGACGATACCCTGTCGCAAGAAGTATTTGAGCAAGAGTTGTCCGTACGAGGTCTGGCGATCCTCCTGAATCAAAAGGATAGTGCCCACGGGGAGTCCACCGCCGAGAATGTCGTCCAGCGAAGGAACACCTGTCGATATGAGAACCTGTCCGTTGTAGGCAGAGAGGCGACACCCGGCTGGAAGACTCGCTTGTGCAGACGGCACACGCTTCTTGAATGAGCTCATGGTGGCGATTCCTTGTGTGTGGTTGATCCTTACTCTGCAATTGTCGAGTTGCCTAGTAATTCCTGCAAACTGGTTGTAGTTGTTGCTGTGAATCAAGTTTGCCTCACCTTGCACTTTTAGCACACGGGGTCAGCAATGCGCCACTGTTGGGCGAGTTTCAATAAATTCGCAAAAGTTCAAGAGACGCTTTTTCGGTTTATTTGTGCCCAATTTTCCCAATTTTACGGCGCTTGGCTGCAGCTTTAGCGCCTCCACGAAACCGTTTGCCTCGCTTGGGCTCGTCGTAAGGAAAGGTGCCCGGGATTTGGTCTGGGGTGCCAATCCATTGAAGCTGCAAATCCTCGTCAGCAACGCCAACTGATATGTTACTATTGGCACTCTTCTTGTTTCCGCCTGTGCCATCCGTGCCCACCTCACTCAGCATCTGTGGTGAGAACTCGTGTGCAGCATGCAAGTCGTACTGTCCTCGACTCGCAGATGATACACCCTTCTTTCCCTTCGCATCTGTTGCTGTTATTGATTCGCCTGTCTTGTCTCCCTCCACTTGCACGGCCTTGTAGATAGTAGCATTGATATCGTTCCTCTTGTGCCCCAAAATGTACTGGCCAGGCCCCAGGTTCATCAGCTTCCCCAAGATATAATGGATCATCCGCATGTTAGGCTTGATGACTTCCTGAATTTCTCGATCCTGAAATCGTTGCTCACTTGCATCCAAGATTGAAACAGCAGGCAGATCACTGAACACTCCCCCTAGCGGGTTCTCGGGATTGACTCCACCCGCTGAGGATGGAATTGAGTTCGGATAGCGTACAAACTGGTTCTGAGAGACATCGACACGTCCAAGGGCAACAAGGCGGTCATCTCGAATCCATGTCGCCATCCACCAACCTGCCAGAGTCGATCTGCCTGGTTCTGTGAGCCCGAGATCAGGGGTGTAATCCAGGATGGATTTGAAAACCACTTGTCGATGCGGTTTCTATGGGAAAACAATAGAAAACTTTAGTGGTGAAATGCGAATATAAAGTAGTGCTTCAACATAAGTCAGCGGAGTTTGTCTGAGCCTTACTGTTTTGTCGAGATATCCATGAAGACGGCTGCGGATCAAGATGCGAGTCTCGCCAAATGTCCAGAGCGAATATTCAAAGCCGTCATTCTCATCTGAAGAAGGAGTAGAAAGACTTCCGAGAACGCCTTCGTCATCATTCCCCCCCGCTTTGCTGGTAGAAGCATTGGGTGCCTGAGCCACTTCCTCTGTCTGTTCAACTGTTTTTTCCTCGGGCAATTCAACTGTCTTTTCCTCGACCTGTTCAACTATCTTTTCCTCGGGCTGTTCAGCTGCCTTTTCCTCGGTGAGTTCAACCGCCTTACCATCTACTGTATCGATGCTGTCTTTGTTTGTTCGTGAAGGTGTAACTGTCTCGGTGTATTTCAGTGCGGGCTTCAGTGCAAGAATGTCAACATCCGTCGATGAGAAGCCTATTAACGATAGCTTCTTGAGCGCGCCGTCGTAAAATCTCTGTGTCATCTCCAAAGCCGACATTCGCTTGGGTATCAAGGGCTTGTCAATATAAATCCGCTTTTGCATCACTCCTACACCATGCAATAGATCATAAGGAGGACGATACATAGGCATATCAGAAATCAGCAATTCGAGAACGCTAAATCCGTACGCACAGGGTGGGATGCGTTCAAAACATAGGAGCTGTAGGGTTACCTTGCTGATCCTCTTCTAGCACGACCCTGACCGGGATCTCCCACTCCGCCGCAAGACTAGGTAGCGCCTTTGCTAGCGTGACCAGTGTACTGGCCGCGAGTGCGATATGGACATTCTGCTCCTTGACAAACCTTCGCACGATGGGATCATTGGTGACGGAGACCGAAGGACGCTTGGTAGGAATATGACGTCGTCTGTAGTTTTGCTCGGCTATCGTTCCTCTTACACTCAAGGGTGGTGGCACTGGAGGTTTTGAATGCGAGCTCGAGAGGGACCAGTACCGATCACTGACATCGATCGTCGTTTCGAAGGGCACACCATTTTCGTCCGTGGGCCAGATCGGCTTCGCCAACGACACCGGACAAATCTTTCCCGTTCTCTCCAACAGCCCTCGAGGATCGGGCTCTGGGTTCTCTGCTGCTGAGGCGTCTGGTGTCTTTCTAGTCAACATTGGTTCCTTTGAGGAGCTGGGTGTCGGATGAGCGCCGGAAAGTCGTAGACCCACGGATTGCACAAAGTCGTAATATTGTGGGTACTCCTTCACTCGTGATTTTGCCCTTGAGAACTTCGGCTCTAAAGCGGATCGGATGGCTGGGTTGAAGTAGCCGGATATCCTGGATCGGATCACGTCTGCGTTCCAATGCCGAAGCCGCTGTCGCTCATTGTCCACCTTTTCCTGGAGTGCAAGCCATAATGCCCTGTCCTCTGGCCCCAACTGCGGAGTAGCTGGGTCCTTGCTTTGATCACGCGCGATGCCCTCGTATCTGACAAAACGACGGTGCTCCTCCCAGGTGAGAATCGAACGATGCTCGTGTGAATGTATGCAAGGATGATGATACCAGACTGTGGCAGGCTCCATCTGCATTAATATCGGCTGCTGCTGCTGTGAGGATAGCTGCTCCTGGGAGTCGTTGGTTTTTTGAATTGGTTTAGGTTGGATGCTGCCCATAGCTGAGGTGAATCCTGGGTCATAGGAGGCGACAGATGCCACCAGGTCGGTAATGTCAAATTTGCGAGAAGTCATCGCAGGAGTCGAAGGCCCTGACGTTGCTGTCGACGCTGCTTGCTGATCAGATGGCGTTGTGGTCTTCGGAGATGAGTCCACCTTTTTGCTGCTGTCACTGTCTGTTGCAGGAGCGTGAGAAGTTGACGGTGCCAATGAATCACGGGCGAGCTGCTTGATTCTGCTGACTGATGGTGGTTTTAATCGAGGCGCTGGCTGCTCCTCTTTTGTATCGTCTCCAGTTGTCTCATCCTCATCGTCGCTTTCACTGCCGCTACTGCTGCCACTGCTGTTATCGCTGCTGCTGTCGCCGCTGCTACCGTCGCTGCTAGTGCTTTCGTTTCCTTCTCGCACCTTCATCCGGCCTTCTTCCTGAGCCTTTTTCTCTTCCTCTGTCTTTCTCTCTTCTTCTGCTTTTCGTTCCTCCTCCGCCTTCCTCTCCTCGTCTTTCCTCCTCAGCTCCTCCTCCAGCTCCCTTCTTTGTCTCTCCTCCTCTTCCTCGAGTTTCTGCTTCTTATAAAAGTACATGTCCGCTGCTCTATTCCTGCCTCCAAATGAAGTGCGCTCAAAAATATCCTCGTCTAGAAAAAAAACGTTCCTTTTCAGCGTCGATGTCGATCTCGGCCCCGGTTCAGTTGCGATTACACTAATCGGTTCGCCAGCATTGTCCCCTCCATCGATTGCTATTGCTTTCACGTCATGTGCGACAAATCTTGGCGGAAGCGAAGGGGAGATAATGGACATCTCCTTTAACTCTTCAAAGATACTTGTACTGGTGATGTCCTCATGCTCCAGAGGAAGTTCATTCCTAGGAGGTGACTGAACAAGGGCACTCTGATCCTGATCATGCGTAGATGCTATCGTATGAGGTACGCTGTTCATTGCTGGTTCTTCATTCTTTTGCTCTGTCCGAGAGATATCGAGTGGGACTGAGGTGGATATCGATCGCAGTGACGATATTGCTCTTTGATGTACGCTGTCAACTATTGGGTCTTCATCCATCTCGGTTGTTGGGGTGGTATCAATTGGTGGTGAACTGGCAGGTGAACGCGCTAACGGTGATGCTTCTGATGAATCGTCTTGCATAGCGTTCTTCACTCGATCGTCCTGTTGATTATCCTGCTCATTCTCTTGCTCATTCTCCTGTTCATTCTCCTGTTCATTCTCCTGCTCATTCTCCTGCTCATTCTCTTGATCCTGATCAGCTGCAACGATCTCGTCTGTTTTCATACTCGGATTTCGACTTTCTTCCGGGGCCCTTGGAGCTTTCTCTGTTGTAGCAATCTGTATTGCGCCGCGACCACGGGGTCGACCACGGCCTCGACCTTGTCCTCGTCCGCCATGACTGGTTGCTGCTCCTGCGGTTTCGGCAGAGATTATCACTGTCGCTGATGCAGGTTCTTGTGTCGGGGCATGGGCACTCGAGCGTGTGACCCTTCGCTGCATGGCTCTCTCGTCGTCTGATGGATTGTTAAACAAAAATGATTTGCATCGCTCTCTTTGCTCCGACATCATAAAATTTTAATTCGTGAAGGGATAGATGGAACTGTGGGTGCGGGGCGATGTGGTCGGCGGAGTGGCTCCGGGTGGATCTGTTTCGTTATATGGAAGCACCCGATATTCGACATATTGTGGGGTCCATCATCATTCCAACCCACGTAGCGGCCCATACAAGTCTCGCACAAACAGAGTATCTTGCTTAGGCCACATTGGTCGAGCACTTTGTGGAGATGAGATACTCATCGCAGGATACTACGGTACATTTAAGATGTCATTGAATAAAACAGCAGGGTCCATATGCTTCAACGCTCCATAGAGCGCCAAATCTCTTCATTTACTGAACAAAAAACACATCGCTAGTCTCCATCATCTCATACATTGGTACCGAAAAATATTTCAATATGTGCTTTCGTCTTTGCCTTTGATTTCATAGTTAACAATGGTCAAGATTCGGAGACATGCCAAACATGAGATCTGGAGAATAGTAATAGTTAAATAGGGGCCGAACTTTACAAAAGAAAAAAGAAAAGAAAAGAAAAGACATGGTGTCGTTCTGTAGTTTGACAAAGATACGTTTGCTCGCGTGTTTAAGCTTTATGTGGCTTGTATGGCTCTGGGCAAAGCATCAAGGAGCAAGCAGCCGCCAACCACCAGATGTCAAGTTCCGGCGCCTCGTTTTTATGACCCAGGACCCCATCCAATTTAGACGCATGTGTGTATTCCTTTTAGGGTGCTGAGACCTGATAGCTTTAATGGACGCAATGGTTGTGGTCACGGCAAAACTGAGTAGAAATAATGAGGAGGGTGTTGTATTTCTTTGTTGTTGCTTCTTCTCGTCTCCTTTACAGATCATCGTCTTCCTCGGGAAGGGGCATCTGAGCAGCACTGTTCAACTCATCATTGTACTGCTGCATAAGGCCAGCATCGACATGGACCTCAGCGGGGGCCAAGGCAGGGGAAGCGACAAACTCCAAGTCCTGGTGTCCAGCCAACTTGCGAGCCAACCAGAGGAAGGGCTTCTCAAAGTTGTAGTTGCTCTTGGCAGAGATGTCGTAGTACTGCAGGGACTTCTTGCGGTGGAAATCAATGGCTTTGGGCTTGACCTTGCGCTCCTTGATGTCGACCTTGTTTCCGCAAAGAACGATGGGGATGTTCTCGCAGACACGGACGAGGTCACGGTGCCAGTTGGGGACGTTCTTGTAAGTAATTCTGGAGGTAAGATCGAACATGATAATACCGCACTGTCCGTTGATGCTGTAAAATGGGGATAGAGATATAATAAAAAATACTGGCATTAGCGTCGATGCTTAATATATCGATTTTAAATGGCGCAAAAAAAGGCAATTGGTAGCGTCTCCGTCCCGTGTCGCAGAATACGTACTAGTAACCATCGCGAAGACCTCCGAACTTCTCCTGGCCAGCTGTTCGTATTATGATAGAGAATTGAGGGACAGTGCATGGTTAACTTAAGACCTGATTTCTGGCATAATGACATTCGACGCAAAAAGAGTTGTAGTCTGGCGGAAAGACTTGCCTGTGTCCCAGGTATTGAAGATGATCTGACCAAAGTTGGTGGTGAAGCTCAAGGGGTGGACCTCAACACCCAAGGTGGCTAGAAAGTGAAAACAAACAATCGATGATTGTTAGCGTTGGCACCACGCAATTACAAAGGGTCGACTTCAAGCCGTGGTCGGAATCCTTGATAAAGTGTGAATGTACGCCCAAGGAAAAACAAAGCAGGTCGACGAAAGTTGTAGAGCATAGTTATGCCTTGTGTATCCATCAGTCTGCCGTTGGTCATTTGGCACAAGGGGCGACCCCGACCAGTCCAAAACCGCAGCGATATGCAGTGTAGTGGGTGATCCGAGCGTAGAATGGTGTGGTTTCCTCCAAACAGCTTCTGGACGGCAATCCAAGATGGGCGCGGTCATCTCTGCATCGGACCGCAAGTGGATCCTGATAAAAAAGCCCTGACCAAGCTGCGCATCACCCAAGATGGAGAGGATCGCCGAAAGTCATGGCTTGATGGGTACAAGGAGATTCTTACCGATGTACTTCTTTTCGAATTCACCAGTCAAGTGGCGCTTGACGAAGGTGGTCTTGCCCGTACCACCATCGCCGACTATCAAAGGGTGTGGAAATTAGGTGGAAAAAGAATGGGCAGAGACGCGGTTAGTGTTGGATCCAGACAAACAGAGCGGCGTCCAGCAGAGCGATTGTTTTTCTTTTTATTTTTTTTTCTCCTGCAAGTCTAGCTCTGTGTCATTGTTTGGTATGATAGCAAGTCGATGAAAGACAAAAGAAGGGAGGTGTGGTTTACCGAGAACAAGCTTAAAAGTGGGAATCTCTTGAGTGGCCATGTCGAATGAAGTGATGGGAAGAAGGGATGAGAGATGAGTGAAAAAGAGGGGCAAGAAGAAGGCGAGAAGGTTTTTATTGAACCGCGGACTGCTGACGTCAACATGTTTATTTTTTATTTTTTTTCCAGGTCTTACAGCAAGAGCGGTGGGCAAAAGAAAGTCTGGCCCAATAATTCGCATCGGTCCAGTGCACTGCTTTAACGGTACTGTAATGTGTCGTAGTGTAATGCAAGCTATCGGGTTGAAGTAAAGGTTACACACTGGACGGTTGAACATCTGCGCGTCGAGGCAGCGGCAGTACCATTGGCAAAGTCGGGCTCGGAACTAGATTCTTTGTTTAGGTATTGCATACTACCATGCATTCATACCACCCACTTCTGCGCCAGAAGGACAGACTTCCTTTTGGCATAGAAGAAGCAGTGGAGGGGCACAGCCATTTGAGTTCGCTATTGGGCGGAGCCCCTAATATTTTTAAGCAACCCTTTTGTTGGTTGTCCTGGTCCATCGTCTGTCTTCACTCTTCTTCCAACCACCACTAACGATAGGAACAACAACTTCAGAAAGGCATCGCCGATATCTGATATCTGGTATCTGATCCTGCTCCAATGTTGGTCCTTTAGCTCAAACCCCCATCCTTCGCTCCCACTCCTTCCTCGCTGCACTACGCCCTCAGGCATTCCGCCACACAGCTTTCTTTTCGCACTTGCACGCCGTCTCCTTCTTAGTCCTCGACTTCACCTCATTCACCCCGACACCATCACATCCTTCTCTTGATCCTCCATCCATCGTCTGAAATCAACTCGCCTTTCCGCCTTTCATCCTCATACTCTCTGCCAAGACTCTCGCTACCATGGTCTTTGTCAATGGCCAAAAGTTTGCTTGGTATGTGACCAATCTTATCTCCCAACGTTGTAAAGTGTTATTGCCTGTCTGCAAGGCGTGACACCCAATACTAAGATAACTAAGATAACGTTTGTCATCGTTCGCCTTCCTGACCACAGTGCAACCTGCATCAAGGGCCATCGCTCCACGACATGCAACCATGGGTAATGTCAACACAGCCATTTGTTTGTCATCAGAACACATAACACGAATATAATGTTTTATCGCGGCACATGTGTGTTGCTCACCGAAACTCATTTATTAACTTGTATATCGAGCTAATAGAGAACGGCCATTGCACGAAATCAAGAAGAAGGGCCGTCCATCCACGCAATGCCTTCACTGTAAAGAGTTGCGTAAGGCCAAGCAAGTGAGCGTCCGTTGCATTTGTGGCAAGGAGGAAGGTACAGAAGTGGACAAATATCTTTTCTGGCGCACATCCAAGGCATTATACTGATATGCTGTTGACCGACCATATTATGATCTTTCTTTTATCCCACAATGCAATGCAATGGTCTTTATTTAGGGCCCTCAGTGTTGGCCAATGGACTGAAGCGCACCAAGTCCCTTTCGCAAGATGGACGTGCCCTCGCCCCTGCAGATCTTGGCGGCGAGGATATTCTGCGCTCTCTTTCGACTGAAGACGTTAGAACAATGGAATCGGCTGAGAATGTCTCATCAAGTGGAGGTAGGAATTCATCGACCATATGCATATATTGGCTACAGATCCACTCCTTAACCCATTGACTACATCTGGGAATATCTATCTAGACGTTTATTCATGCGGATGTCTCGAGGGCGCTGTCTGCACTTGCTGCCGTGATCGTTCGGGACACGTTGTCACGAAACCAAACAAAATCTCGTCTTCGGCACAGCATGCGGTGTTCAAGAACTATGCGCTTAAACATCAACGCGGAGCTGCTTCGCTCGACCTTGGCAAGCCCGGTGTACAGCTCTATCCACGAGATGCTTCCCCCTTAGCTCTTTCTCCACAGGTGCGAGGCATACGGGCGGTGCAGAGTCCCAATGGAAGCGTGAGCTCTGACTCGAGTCTCGGTATCAATGGGACATTTAGCGACATGGGTATATCAAGCAATGGATCATCGTCGCAGTATGCGCATGTGCTCAACTCAGGATCCTCAGGAGCTGATTATTCGCCCTTAAGCAACCAGCAGAGTCTGATGCAGTCCCAGTTGTGCTTCGACAATGCGACCTCATCGGACTATGACAGCGACCAGTACAACCCTCCAGGCTCATATCCGTTTTTTCCACAAAGTGTGCCTACGTACGCTGTGAGTAACGCATCGGACGACCTTGGTGAACGAGACCCTACCTTATTCCAGGACACATCAGCGAAGCGGCCTACGCCCATGAATACCCTATCGTCTGAGGATGTGGGGTCACTCTACAGTGCCATGTCCAATTTCACTACAGCTTCTCCGCCCATGCCAATGCAGCCTAATACAGAAACGGCTATATCTTCAACATCGACTGCCAAAAAATCGTGCTGCAAACCAGCGGACAGTACTTCCTCGCCGGCATCCTCGATCCCGTCCCAATCTCCCTGTGATCGACAAGGCGATGAAGCTCACGACGAGGTGGAGATGGCCGGTTGTGGCTGTGCCGTTTCTGCCAGCATGTGCTGTTGCGGAGAGCTTTGCGCCTGTCCTGGATGTCTTGCCTACCCGAACAACCAAAATATTCTCCAGTCGGCGTTCCCACCAGAAATGTTCCCCAGCTCTGGACTTGGCAACAACAATGGAAATGCGGTCAACATCAGTACTCCCAATAGCAATGACGATATGACCCAGGCATCTGCGATGGACACCGTCCCCAAAAAGGGATCTTGCTGCGGTTCCAGTAAGATCAACGCCATCAACTCAGCTAACATGGAGATTCCCTCTGACCAGACCGCTAATAATGGCGCTTCAGCCCTTAACTTGAGTCAAGCATTGAGTCTCATCGAGGCAAGCAGTCAGAGTGCGTCGACCATGATTGACAACGATGCCCGACAGGCCCTGCGGCAGGGATTGAGTATGATGGGCCAGGCGGGCATGGAGTCCGTCAAGTTACAGCATCCAACTTTGCTTGGCGACAACGGCATCTTGATTTGCGGCTGTGGTTGCGGACGTCCTACGGTCGATTGTGCAGACTGCTTTCGGGACATGTGTGAGTTTGTCGGCGAATCTCAGGCGAGGATGATGAAGGAGGAACTCGAGTATGAGATGGCCATGAACCGGGAAGGTGGATATTTGGCGGACCTGGGACTCAATATGAACATGTCCATGGCCATGAATATGAGCCTGAACATGAATATGGATATGATCATGGACATGAATATGGACCTGAACGATATCGGGATGAACCAAGACAATCCACAGGTTAATGACCTTGGACTTACTTCGAACTCGGAGATACAGGGCTCCACGGACGAGTCGTCGACATTCGGTCAAGACCAACAACAACAACAACAACAACAACAACAACAACAACAGGAACAGCAACTACAGCAGCACCAACGACAGCAATTCCAACAGCTGCAAGTACAACCACAGCAAACACAATCACACTCTTCGTTGAACCTACCTCAATACCAAGACCAATTCTTAGATCAACATCAAGAAAATCAGGGCTACAATAATCAACATCAGGGGCAGCAACAGCAACAGCAGCAACAGCAACAGCAACATCAGCAACATAATCGTGCACTCTTGGAACAAGAACAGCGCTTGAGACTACAGCTGATGGAACAAGAACAGATGCAGCTTTCTCAACTGCAGCCTTCCGCTCTGAGCCAGCTCCAACTGGATTTTCTGGATGACGAGGACTGGAGCTTTGTGGACGAGATCAGGATTGATGTCCCTGGTCCTAAATTGACAGCAGATCGCAAGGCATGACCCCTCTCGCCTCTTGCGGAAGATCGACTCACTTTGCATTCGGCATCATAACGATATACCTACAATCTTCATAGAATAAAACTGTTTTAGCATTCACATCGACGTTTGTTATCTACTTCATAACAATGTTTTCGTAACGGAATCATTTGCATTCCACCCTCTATATGACAGCCATAGACCTCGTTAACATTTGAACAACAAAAGGCGGCCTTACAACAACAGTAATAGTGAGACTGAATGGAATGCACAATGACTGCGCACGGTATGCAAAACTGAGACAATTTCATCCTCGCACAAAGTGCAAAGACCAGGGTCCACCTGCATGCACCCCTCCATACATATTCAATCATTCAATCTACTTTGTCGTAAAGAAATGCTTTATTGAATCTAAACGTGGTCAATGATTGTTCACCAACGCTGGATCATTATAGCACAACGAGAGTGGAGTGGAAGTATAGTCGCATCAAGTAACGACGCCATTCGAAATAAAGGAAGTGGGCAGTCTATGGAATTTCCTTTAAACTCTGTTGGCGTTGTATTGGATGTAGAAGTTCTGGCGGAGCTCGCGGTTGGGGAGGACGTTCTTGTGCCAGAAACCGTAGGCAACGGCGCTGTGTGGCGAAACAAACAAAAGAGAAAGAAGTGGGCGCGGGGAGTTAGTGAGTGGGAATCCGAGTCTCATAGTCCCTGTCCCTAAACTGAGATGAGTCCACGGTTTTTTTTGGGTGTTCCAACAATCTCCTGAAACAATTGTTCCTGAATTGAAGCCGTAATCCGTCAAGTTATGCATGTCTCCTAGTCCAACGCCCTGTCCATTCAGATCCTTCCTCTCCGTCCCGACGAAAGAGGTAAGATCCCGAGCTCCGATTCAACAATAAGATCGATAGGATGACGCGCAGTGGGTCGGATCAGATGCAAAACAGAGAGCAACATACGTTCCGAAGGTGAGGGAGAGACCGATGTGGGTCAACATCGACTTGGCAAGGAGATTTTTAACGGGAGCAATCATTTTGAAAGTACTTGTCGTGTGCGTGTGTATTGTTGATGAACAAGAGGGGATGCGGGAGTAGGTCAGCGTCTTATTTTGGTTTCTGAGGTACGAAGTCATTTGCATCTACGATAAAAGCGTCTACCCATGCGCAAATTTCGACGCCAGTCCCCCCATTTATTCAAACCTCCCCTGTTCCATTGATCACAATTCCGCGACTCGAGTCGATACACTTGGGTCTTTTTATGTCACCGTTCGCTACGCTTATTCCGCGCACTCTATGAATGATGCTCACCGTATTGTCGAGCGAGAAATACTGAAGATTGGGGCCCAGACGAATTTGGTTCATTACCTGGACGGCATTCCTTCGGGAAAAAAGGACTCACCCAAGTGCACCAAGAGAACCTTCTCAGGAAAGCTGTTGAACGCGCCGACAAATGTCTGCATGGCTCAAGGTTGGCGTGGGTAAAAAGCTCCGCGTGCGGAAACACCAGTTCATCGACATCAGAAAACATTTGAGCTCGACCTTTTATTGTTCCCTAGACGCTCGACGGGCCTTTGCCGTATACATGCGCAAGAAACAATGGGCGATCGTCGAGTGCTCGACCGAGGCAGGTCTCGCGATAGGCCATAAATGCAAGCCTAGCGACATCGTCGTATCAAGAGACAGTGACATACTCATGTACAAGAATGTCGAGACCATTTGGCAACCCATCTCAAAAGGGAAACTCCTTGTCTACGACGTTCCAAGCGTCTAATACACAGTACTTAGCGTCGTATCATAAACGACTACAACCGCAACATCCCCTCTCTCGGAAGCGCAACCGACTACAAAATCATCAAAGAGCTGGATGGAGAAGTTAAACAGATCAATTAGTTCATCGTGTATATCACTGATGCAGAAACGTATTATCAATTCTAAAATCTCGGCATTTTTTATTTTTTTCTGGCTTGCAGACGCTGCGACGATGATGAAGTATTATTTAGCACACAACCAAGCCATGCGTAAGAATACCGCCCAGGAGACGCTTGCCACTTCGCAGAAGGTTTCTGTGGGTATTTTACAGACCCCTGTGCAGATTGGCCCATTCCCTTCGTTCCCAGCTCAAGCTGCCATGGCCTATGACAGTCTTCGAAAGCAGCTCGATTGTCTTTTTCAGTGGTACTCCCAAATGCAGAAGGAGATACGAGAGGCACGCGAGGCGGAGAGAAGGTATACAACGTCAAACACTGCCTTGCTTTGTAAGAATTTCCACTTGCATGAAGGCATGCATGAAATTAACTCTAGTTTATTGTGATTGCTATCAACTTTGAGAACTTTGACAGCGAATCATGATACTAAGACTCGGTGACACAAGTCTTCGCAGACTTTCAACAGGTATCGCACGGTCGATCACCTTGCTTCACGCCAGGCAGAGGCTGCAAGTGAGGTGAACCCTGCCCAGCCTCGTACCAAATCCCCGCAACACCTACCGCGATATTCTACCAGACAGCGCACTCAACTCAGGGAGCATGAGCTGCCTGAAGCAATGAAGCAGTACACATAGAAGGCATAGATGAAAGTACCCGAGAGCCCCTTAGATCCCGACGCTGGCTCTTTCAAGAAGAAGGGGGGAGCAAAGAAGAAGAAAAGAAAAAGATTGTGCCAAAGCCAGTAAGCGTCTCGACAGGAAAGACTGACATGGTTCGAACTATGGATTGGGAACATCCGACAGTGAACCTCGATGTTGGAACCGTTTCTACTAATCTGAAGCGAGCTTTGGGAGAATCGGAATTGGTACCCGAAATCAAGAAGTGTCTCCGGGATGTCGTTCGGGTTGCATCTGACACAAAGCTGCAGGGCAGCGACTCATCGGGCGGTTGATTGAGAGTCTCTTTGCTCACGCGAGCCTGATGCAATAGACAGAGATATACTGCAACATCTGTCCATATGTCTCATTCAAGATCAATGTCAGGGGGAGAGGTCGATGCGGATGATCATGATGAACAGGAGCAAGAGGAAGAGGAGGAGGAGGGAAGGGGGGGTAGACGAGGGTGATGATGACTCAGTGCGCAAGGACTTAGACCACCTGCGCTTCCATACTGTGCTGCTTCAGCATCTCTACACAGGCGATCCCATCATCACGACGAATGTATTTGGTAAGCGCGTCCAGCAGTTGTCGACCGAGCAGCGGATCTCGGTAATGAAGCAGAAAGCTGTATCCCAGCCCACGTTCAAGCACAGAAGATGGATGGGAAGCAAAAAAAACATTGTATCAGACGGCGGAATAGAATCCATCAGCAACATTGAAACTAAGCTGCCACCACTGCGCGGTGAGGGCGGCAGCTTTGCGAGCTATGTTACGGAGCTGGAGAGAGTAGAGGGAAAGCTGACAACGGCAACAACTGGTTCAAGAAGCATAAGTGGGACGCGAGAAGGGCCAGGGATGCGGAGTACAGACTCATAACGGATCGCCTACTCAAATTGGTCGGAGGTCGATCGGCAGAAGAAGAGAGGAAGCCAATAAGGTTGCGATTGGGGTTGGTCTGGGCAAGTTTTCGACCAAGACGACTTTCCTCTTTGCACAAGTCCTTTCAGTCGTACTTTGTTCAGAAGGCAAGAGCACCATCATTTGAGAATCGAAGCTATGTAAAATCGTATTATGTTTTTCTTGACTTTGACTTTATCACAATTTCCTTTAGGCCAGATCCCTAGGCTACACCGTAGGTGGAATGAATGAGTACTATGGTTCGAAGAAGTGCCCGACGTGCGAGAAGCTTGTCGGATAGGTCGAGATCCGCAGGCTATACTGCTCAACCTGCGGCACTTTCATGCACCGTCATATTATGGCAGGGCACAACATTTGCAACGTCGTTCGCAGCCATTTACTCCATCAACAGCGGCCGCTTGATCTCCGGCCAGTATATAAGGACGGGCACTATCCTTGGATGCAAGATGCAAGGCCGCATACAGAGGCCGGGGGTAGCAGCTGTAGTAGCGCAGTGGGGCGAGTGCAAGGGCAACCACGAGCTGGAGGACGCAAGCAAGCAGTCTTATCCTTGAAAGGGATGGAAACCCCTGGCGCCAAGCGACTATAGACTATGTAGATATACGTGTACCAGCAAGCTCAGATGTAGCAAGGATGCGTCCTGTGACGTATTTGAGCCTCAATTGTTCTGTTCTCTCGGGGTTACAACTGTATGCTTCTTGACAGTGGGGGTTTATTATTATTATTATTGCCGTAAGTGTGTATGTACGCATGTGTAAGTATGTGCGTCCCAGGAACAATGTGAAGAGCCTGGTACAGGAGCCAAGTTTTCACTTCATGCTTAAAAGTCTTGCAATAGCTGGAGAAGGAGGCGCCTTGGTGGGCCTATCGGAGGGTATTGACCCCGGCGAGATAGGGGCATTCGACTTCTCGCAAGGGACAGGAGCAAACGTCTCAGAGGCAACGGACGGCATTAACGATACCTGCTGCTGCTGTTGCCGCTGTTGATCTGGGACATCAATTCGAGTCTCGTTGCGTATTGGTGCGTTCGAATGGCCAACATCCGCAACGGGAATGTCCTTGTTGGAGCTGAAGGAAAGTGTTCTGGGTATAAAACTCCTGGTCCGTTCAAAGATGTTACGTTGCAGGTATGAGGGCACGAAGGGTCCTTGGATTCGGTAGATGTAGATGCGCCAAGCGATAAACGCGCAAAAGAGGACCAGGCACGGTATGAGAACCGCTAGGAGGATTATTACCTCGGACATTTTTGTGAAAGAATAAAGGCGCTTAGCAAAGAAAGGACGGTAGCTGTAAAGTCTCGGGATAGATGTGCAAAAAAACTAGCAAAGGATTGCAGGTGCAGGTATCAGTGTGATGACAGGAAATAAAAGTGCCGAGTGAACGCTGGAAGGTCAGGAATGCGTAGAAGGAGGAATGCGTAGAAGGAGGAAAGAGAAGAGGAGGTGGAGAAGTCAAGGGGGGTTTATATGTTTGTGGGTAGTCGGCTCGAACGAAGACGCGCCTTAAATGGGATGGGCCTGGTGTTATGCTCATCCAGTTCTTCTAAACCTTTCAAAACGGTGCAAGAAAATCCCTCGCCATCTCACCGCTTTGGCCCAGTGTAACCGCCAACGAACGAATAAAAAAAGTCCCTCAATGGTGAAGGAGGAGCACTATCGGTGTTTTGGCACTTTGTATGTTAGACCATAATGTAAAGACTGTCGAGGATGTGGTATCAATCTCAGTCTGCCAGGCCATACAGACTGCAGATACCTATTACTGGTAAGCAAAAGAGCCAGGTTTCCTGCACCATTTCTGGGCCGTACCTTATTCCGCGAGCCCTTCTTCATTCTCAAAGCTGCCATCCATTTATTTGACACTGCAGAAAGAAAAGAAACTGCGTGCTCTACATACATACTTATACACATAAGTCATGCGTGTCAATGGTGCCGATCCGGCAAGTATTACAGCTCAGTTTCCTTTCGTCGCATACTCACGAGACCATCTTTAGCATGAGTTTCACACATGGTGCAGCCATGAACAACAACAACCGCCTCCGAAGTGACAAAATAAGCTTCTGCGGTCCTTCAAAGCTTACCGAGAATTTGCTCCATGGAACAACATGATCCCTGCGCCCTTTAAGGATCCATGCAGACACTTTTCATCCGCATAAATCTCCAGTATTGTCCTTAGCGCCGACTTGTCCTCGTCCATTAAGTATGCTCTTGAAAAATATAAACGAAGGCGATGCAGCAAAAAAGATGGAAATAAAAATCCCTCATCAGCGGAAATCCGCAAATTGGCATCCTTTTGTTCTGTTGAGAACTCGCCTTGGAGAGACTTCGTACATGTTTACTGATTTGACATTTGCAACCATACGTTTCGTAGCCGATCATCCTATCATATTAAGATGAACAATATCTTTGTCATCAATTCAGAATGTCTGCAAGAAACACGACGTGCGGATGAACGCATTCTTTGAACGCGTCCATTTTTTTCTTTTTTACGCGTGGATCTTTGCCCATATCGAAAGTGACTGCGAGATGGTGAGCGCACAGCCCGTTCATTCAACGTGGCGCCCTGAGTTGCCTTCATCGCCATCATCATCAACTACCATCCATCTTTCGTCTCCCCAACCAACCCCTCCCCACCTCCAAATCCCTTGTCCCTTTCCTACGCTATATTCAATGTCGGCAATGGATGACCAAGATTACGAATCCGTCCTGTTGGTGATTCGTGAATGCTATGGTGAGTGTAACATAGATAACTCAAGTCACCAAAACATACCATAACGCAACATTCTAACACCCCCTTGCCTCTCTCATAATAGTCTACAAGGTTCCACCTATGGTCTCAAGTCGTGGACACAGAGCAGCTGACTGGGGCAATGTCGATGCCCCTCTGTGGAGAGGGCGACTGCGTGTCATCGCACAAGGGAAAAAGTGTTTTATTCGACTCGAGGATGGACAGACAGGAGAACTCTTTGCGGTCTGTCCCTATGAAGAGAACAAGGGCTGTGTCGAGAGCGTCACCGATTCAAGCCGTTACTTTGTCCTGAAGATCGAGGATCAGGGTCGACATGCGTTCATTGGGCTCGGGTTCCTGGATCGAAGCCACGCATTTGACTTCAATGTCGCGCTTCAGGATCACTTCAAGTAAGTCGACTTTAAGGAAATATACTCCTTAGAAGGCTGAGGCTTTTACTGCAAACTAATCATACCTGCGATTACCTCTTACCTCCTCTCTGGGAATCAAGGCACATCAAAGCGGAAGAAAAGGCTGCGGAGTTGAAGAAGACCGGCGCGCAACAGCCTAAATTGGATTTCTCACTCAAGGAAGGACAGACATTGAATTTGACCATTGCCGGTGGCAGTGGAGCCGGATCGGCGCGTAGAGAACGTCCACCAAGGCCTGCAGCATCAGAGGATGGTGGTGAGTCCTTTTACATTGTTTGTCTGGATTACCTTCAGCGTAGCAAAAATGCAAATCTCATGTTATTAATATCTCGCTATATATATATAATGACAATTTAGCACTTCCCCCGCTCCTTCCTCCTCCTCCGCCACCCGGCAAGAGGCAGTCGTAATACCATCCGGTCCCGATGCACATCATACCAAGCGCAACAAATAAAATATAAAAGAATCAATATTTGTTTCTGCGGTTACACCCGTCCCTATCTCATAAAAAGAGAGGATCTACAACCTGGAGGCAATAATCGACGGAACAGGAGATTCATGGGACTTCCGATCATCTACCAATCCAAACAGCATCAGCTTGTCTTCCTCGTATCTGGTCTCCTTGCCCAAGGACTCAATCTGGTATGCAATCTTGCGATCCAGTCCCTCACACCATCGCTGAGCAGCGATGCGATCGATATTGGCCTCAGCTTCTGCAATACTGTTCCACGAGGTAGCCTTGGCCTTGACCTCGGACCACGCGGCATGTTCACAGAGTAGTGCGCCCGAGATCACGTCCGCCATTGCAAAGGTCAGGCCACGAGCTGAAGCCTCCAAAAGGTTGCGGGTTTCCATAGTAGCATAGCTCTTAAAATGGGTTGAGATCATATCCAGAGATTCCTCGATGCTCTTGGCAGACCTGATCCACTGAGGTTGGTTCTTCAGAGGGGCAATAATTCTTCGTACAGTCTGTGAGATATGTCAATAAAATTGAGATTATCATCTGCCACTCGGTCCATAAACCATAGAAATGGAAGCTGGGAAGCAACAAACCTAACCTCAGAATACAGCTCAAGCGCGTCGCCGCCAGTTTCAGCCATGACACGAAGGACATCCAACGAAAGGACGTTCGTTGTGCCCTCCCAGATAGTGTTGACTAAAATGTCCCTCATGGCGCGGCCGAGCCCAGTCTCCTCCATATATCCCTGGCCACCAAAGCACTCCATGGCCTCTTGAGACATGGCAAACGCGTGCTTCGCGCACCACACCTTCAAAATGGGTGTTAGCAGACGCAGAAGAGGAATATCGTGCTCCTTGACTTCCGGAAGGTCATTGTCAAGGCACTCGATGCGACCAAGCATGGCAACACAGAAGAAGGTGAACTGGCTGCTGGCGCGGTACTGAAGCTCCATATTGGCGACAGTAGCCAAATGCAATGGTTGGTCCTTCAAAAGTGCCCCGAAGACCTAGATGTTCACAGATCAGAAATGATGTTCACCAACTGTCAATTGATATCTGCTACCAATAAGGTGTAGAAGCTCCTTCATGGACATACCTCGCGGCGGCGCGCATAATCCTTGACGGCCAGAATGAATCTCTGCATAGCTGCCGTGCAGCCCATCCCACAGTAGACTCGAGTTATGTTCAGAATAGCCGAGATGTTCTTCACACCTCTGTACTTTTCTCCGACCTGTTGAGCAACCATTCCATCCAACTCGAGTTCAGCTGTGGGGAGGGCTTTCGTACCGACTTTATCCTTCAGACGATGGATACGGACTCCATTCAGCTTGCCGTCTTCATTTCGGACAGGGGCCAGGTAGAGCGAAAGCCCTTTGCTACCTTTGCGCATTGAACCAGAAGCAGCGTCAGGGTCGTGAGTGCGTGCGAGAAGCATGGTCACGTCTGCGTCGGTTGCGCTCGAGAACCACTTGAAACCAGAAATGGACCACGCCTGCAGTTTCTCGTTCCACACAGCTTGTGTTTCGGTGCGGGCAACATCACTTCCTCCGGGACGTTCGGTCATCCATTGCCCACTAGTGATAAACATCTTGGGGTCACGACTGCAGCGGGTCGCAGAAACACCGCAAAAACAAGAGAGAGTAAAAGAAAGGGATGCGTTAGAAAGCCTTACCAGGCATTAATGCGACTTTCGGATTGCTCTCTGGATTACCTGGTAAGCCGAGTGAAGACTTGGTCCTTCATCTCTTGAGTCCCATTGAGTTCAATAACTCGTGCACAGCCATCTATTCAAAGAGAAACCTTAATGTAAGCCATCCACTCGTAAGTATGCCCGGTTTGGCAGCGAAAAAAAAAAAAAAAAAAAAAAAAAGGACCGGGGCATTCGAGCGATTACCGGTCATGGCGATAGGGCAGCTGTAAAGCCCGGCCCCCGAAGTCCAGAGCATCAATTTGGCCATCTGGTAGATGCGCGAGTACTGGCCATACGTGCGTTCGTAAGCAATAGCAACAACACCCTCGCGCGCTGCGATCTCTTTCTGCTTCTTCCAAGCCTCGGTGACCGAGAGCTCGTCGACGCGCCTATGCGAGTAGAATAGAGAGAGGTGTCGGGCTAACAGTCGATGGAATGGCATATAATGAATATGGCACACGAGGGAGCAGCGCGTACCTGCACCAGTGATCGTACTGACGGAGTTTTGGCTGGTCCTCCTCCATTCGTGTAGTCAGGGTGACACCCTCTATTCCAGCCAATAAAAATGAATGGTGGTTAGAGCTATTTCGGATTTGTCTGTGGAGTGAACGGCAGACATTGGAGCCTTCGGGCAACAATTGTGTGGAGAAAGACATTTTACATGGAGCTCTCTTTGTCCAGAGCGAATACTTACCAGTATTGGCCCACTCGCAGATTTGGATAAGATCGCTACAGAACCAGATCAAAAAGTAGAGGTACATAAACAGTCGTCAGTCATATCTGCAAAAGAGGTCCACTAGACCTCCACAAACACTACTTACGGCGAAATTTTCTGCAGGACATCTCCTGGAAGATATCTCTCCAGCACGGAGGCCATGACAGGGTCTTCGAGAAACGTATTTTGGACCTCGGGAACGTCCTGTTTAAAACCGACGTCGGCAGTAGCGAACACCATGGTATTTTTTCTTTCTTCCTCCAAGTAGATGCGTATTCAAGAGTGGAGTGAACGGTGCGGAATGAGAAGAGCGAAGGAGGGAATCTGAATGTGCACAGAATGAATGTCATTCGAGGCCTGGATGACCATCTGTGCACACAAATTTCCATCAAAGTTGACCGAGCCGATTGCCTCGCGTGCAACTTACCTGTTCCCAGCCCACATGCACATGTGCCACTAAATTCAGCCGAGGTTGGATTGATGAGCTCCCATTGGCCTGTAACTCAGCACGAGATGGCGCGTCGCGTCCACACCCTGTGCTTTGTCGCGCGTACCCTAGTACAATACGTCCAAGAGCGCCATCTTCGCGTAGTATTTAGCTTCTTGAACAATCCTTCAGGACGATAGTCATGGCCACAAACACATCGTCTTTATTTATTCTCCCACTTGATCTATCCATGTTCACAGGTCCATATCAAGACAGCTCGGTCACCCCTAAAGGCTTCAGGCCACACTTTTTCCCATGCTTATAGACAAGCGCTGCGCATTGATGTCCTTCCTTATAGATCAATTGCTATCCCCTAACCTCATGAGAGCACCAAGGTCCTTTTTTTCACGAGGGCCCATCTCCTTTCCCCTCTCAACGGAACACGCCCTCCTATTTGTGGTTGAGAAGCAATAGCGAGATCAAAAGAGAGGTATAAATGTGTGCGCTGGCGATGCTTATTGTGCCCCAAACAGTGTTTGAGAGCGGTCGATTATCGAAGTGTTCACTCTTGAAATGATGTACGCGTTCGAGGTACATCTTGAGACAATTAAGACAACATGTACAAACAAGAGAAGGATGTGCGATAATGAATGAACCATACCAGGCTAAGCAAGGTGGCTGAGCTGTAGCTGCTAGCTAGACTTGCTCTAGATCATATAAGCTGGTTTTCTTCCACATACAGCTGAATAATGCGCTTCATTCTGCTCCTGCCTCTTCCAGGACAAATACGATTTGGGTAGACATGATGTGCTCGTCCATGCTCTGCTTTGGTTCTCAGGAGCAAACGCACTATGTCCTTATTGGGTGTATTCGGCCGACTTGATCTTGCTGCGTCCCCAATCTGCATCTTTTTATGCTTTTACTCTCCTTGTTTCTTTCCTGGTTTGATCCTTGGCTTCCACCTCCCAATTCCGATCTTTTGTTCCAGACAAGAAGATATAGAAAGAGCTTCTTATTCAGACTCTCTTTTTCATCTTTGCTCCCCTCCTTCGCACTCATCAGAAGAAACAGGAATACGCTTCTCAGATTCTGGCACTACGATTGTATACCTTTCACCGCTCTCTTTACTCTCCACCTCACATCCTGCACCTGCTTGCGTCTAGATCCCTATCATATCCTTCAGTCTAACGATCTTGAGAGACCCTACGATCGTCAATTTGTGCATCTTTCGATTGTCGTATCTGATTTCGTCTGTAAAGTATGTGCCCGGCACAAATCAATTCTCCTCGATCATTTGCGGAGTGTTGCGTCCAGCTATTCAGTCGGCATGTGCGACATGGTTCACATGCGTTATTGCTTTCACGTCTGCCCATACATCTTGCGTGGTCTTTCTACCCACCATCTGAAACTACAGCGCTTCTTATGCTCCACTCCGTCAAGGATGGACGAAGCAGTGAAGCTCATTCCTGCCTTGGCTCAGCAAATGCCAATGATTATAATGAATGTGATGAATACGTCGATAAGTTCTGGTTAAAAAAAGACTTCAAGCTCGCTCCATTCTTCCTTCAATGAGTCGCTCAATGACTATTTTGCTCGTGCGCAAGTGTGAGCTGGCTTTTTTAACACTCTGTTCTGACTGGCATCTTTAGAGAGATCAAAGTCCTTTACTCGTAACTCCGGCCATTCCAGGGCATGACAATTATTGTCAGGACTTTTTAGAAAAATTAACCTTGCATTGGAAGCTACGTCTGAACACCCCCTTATCTTGAAGCACACACACCAGGCTTCTTCCTTTCTGGCCCCTCGATTGCCAGGAGTGCTTCTATTTGTCTCCATCTTGCGCCTTACAGCTATTACTGAGCGACCAACTCTCCAGTCTCTTCTGCGTATCCAGCCCAGCTCCTTCATGAACACATTACCATACCAAGGCATCCAAGGGCAGTCAAAGTCCAATCCAAACAAGAGTGATACATCTCCCTCAAGTCAAAAGCAGCAGCAAGCGCCCTGGCCAAAGACTGTCTCATCGAGAAAGCTCTCGACCTCGCGACCCACTTCACCTTATCCTAGAAAAGAGAATCATTACCAGAATATGCTATCCTTCTATCCCTCCCCATCTCTCTTCATTCGAGATATTCCCGGTCTGAATCCTTCGTCCTCCGTGTCAGCATCTAGTGCTTCATCTCCTGGAATTCCCAACCTCGAGCAGCAATCACGGTATCCTCATGCTCAAGGGCCTTTGTCAGCGGACCATCTGAGCGAGGGCGCGAAAACGAAGGCTGCATTCCTGGCCGAGGGACAGTATGTGTCTAGAATTAGAATTCGCTCGGAAGACGGCCAGCAGTTCCATCTCAAAGATCAGCGCTCCACGACCGGCTCGCTTCACCGTCCGCCGTCTTCTGCACCTAAATCGTTAGATTCATCAGCAAGAGAGTCGCCGGCTACTCCTTTCCCTATTATACATGGCGCGGCAAATAACACTGTGATGAATGTTACACCAAAAGTCGAGGACTTGTACTTTACCGCCATGATATCAGGATCCATTAACCTCGATGTTTCATCGCATGCATACAATATCCATGGAAACCCGGCAAGCACTGGAGGGAGTAACAAGTCAAAGACATCGCCCTTACCATCACCTGTAAGTTGCCCTACATTCCAGTATCCTGGGCGTGGATATAAGCTCCCTTCAGAGGCACATCACTGGGATAAACGCCAGCACTCTCAGCAGCATTACCCATCGTTAAATACCACAAAGGACAGTTTGAAGTATGACAACCATTATCGGCAGCACCAACCCTTGTTTTACGCGTCGAAGAGTCAACGACAGGAGGAGCACATGTTTAATGGCCACACACCCTACCAGCAAGCAAACATTCCGCATCATTTAGCAGGTAATCAGCTCCATAGAATCTATGGTCAGGATCCCTCCGCGAACCATCAGCAACCATATCATTCCTCGCAGTCGTCGTATGGCCACCAATATCATCATCACCAATCATTACAGCAACAGGGTAGCCATCACTGCCACCAACGATTTCAACATTCTCAATCTTTGCAACAATACCCATTTAGCCATAATAGCTACCAGAATGGGAGCGCGAGTAGCAGCGCACATTTGCACTCTGGAGCATCCTCCTCTCAGCCATTTCAGTTTGAGCAAAAGCATTTTAATTTCAAGACACAGGAGCTCATCGCTGTCAAGCCAAGGCCGTTCCAGCTATCCGATTTCACCATAAATCGGACAATCGGTACTGGATCCTGTGGAAGGGTGCATCTAGTCCAATCTGTGTTCAACTCTCGTTTCTACGCGCTCAAGGTGCTCAAGAAGTGTCAAATCGTGAAGTCGAACCAAGTGGAACACGTCAACGAAGAGAAGCGAATATTGGAGCGGATCCGGCACCCATTCTTGGTAAAGACATGGGGGACGTTCCAAGATCATGCCAATCTGTACATTGTGATGGACTATGTAGTTGGAGGAGAGCTGTTCAGTGTCTTGAGACGCATGCAGGTAAAGACCAACCAGCAATTGATCATATTGAGGATGTTTTGACCAGCCTGAAGAAAGTACCCATCCGACTCACAGTACGTACCTCAACATAATAGCGCTTCTCGGACTCTGTAAGCAAATTCTATGCCTGTCAAGTTCTGCTGGCTCTGGAATATCTCCATGGGAACAACATTATATATCGCGATCTCAAACCGGAAAACATCCTCATTGACGCGCAAGGCAACATCAAGATCACCGACTTTGGATTTGCCAAACACTTGGCCGATAATGAGACCGCATGGACCTTTTGTGGAACGCCCGATTATCTTGCGCCGGAGGTAATCAAGTCCAAGGGCTACGGCAAGGCTGCGGACTGGTGGTCATTTGGAATTTTTATTTTTGAGATGCTAGCGGGCTATCCGCCCTTCTATGATGACGACCTGTTTAAGATGTGTAAGAAGATTGTCGATGGTGAGATGCGGTACCCGAAATACTTTGATAGTTTGGCCAAGGACCTGCTGAAGCGACTGTTGGTGTCGGATCTGACTAAGCGATATGGCAATCTGAGAGACGGCTGTCACGATATTCGAAACCATGCTTGGTTTGCGGGCGTGAACTGGACTATGGTCCTTAGAAGAGAGATTGCAGCGCCGTTTGTGCCTGATGTCAAGTGGGACGGCGATGCCAGCTGTAAGTGTATACATTCGCATGCACCTCTTCTTGTGTTTTAATTGATGGGAATGAGCTATTACTCACTATGCTATCGCGTCTTATTTCTGTGTATGTATGTGTGTGTGTGTGTGTGTGTATGTGTGTGTGTTTGTGTGTGTGCGTGTTTTTTCTTCTTTCATCGATCTCTAGGCTTCGGGTTCTACCCAGAGGAAGATGAAGAGGAGATCGCGGCTCAGGTCGAACACAGCAAGGATGAGTCCTTAGATAGTTCTCCGATATCAGCCAGTTCTTCGACTTTCAGTCCGTCTCTCAAAGTTGGAGCAGCAGACGAAGATATGGCGATGGACTATGGAGATATGTTCCCAGACTTTTGAAATAAACAAACAGTATGGAAGGCGGAGGCGATGTAGAAACAGGAAAACAAAAACGTCAACCAAATGCATGTGCAAGTGGACGAGCAACCTTACTGTGGAGGAAGATGGGAAAGTAGGTCAGAAAGCGCTGCTTGTTTGTTTTTTCCCACCCCACTTGTCCGTCCTGCGCTTCTTCACTGCTGGAAAGACAGTTAGTTAATCGGAGAGATCTGGTTAGGACGCATCGTTCACATGCTGTTTGTTGACTTGACTCATGGAGACTAATGTACTCCTTTTAGACACAAATGTACAGCGTAGCGGCTCGCGCGGCAAGAGCACCTGTCTTCTTTACACAAAATGCAGCATTTTGATGGGAAGAGTGGAATGGAGTGGAGATGGATAACGCGAAATTATTGGCGCATCCATTTTCTTTGTGTGAACTTGCAAGTGGAGAATGGGTGGGAGAATAGGGCAAGGAAGGAAAACGTCCGTGGGGAGAACACACAGACACGCGCACGCTACAAGTAGAGGCACTCGGACCTTGGCCCGTTCACTTGGCCCACCCTTTTTATTTTATTTTATTCTACCATTGCTACATAGTGAACAAAGAACCACGCCCACTCCCTCGGAAACTCACTGATCCTTACCGCCCTTACTGTTCAAGAGGTGGGTGAGGACATACGCTATTATCGCAGTGAGAGAGCGTGTGAACAGAAACAGTTTCGAGTGTCTCTCCTTTGGTTCTTTGGTTCTTCGTCTTGACAATTCGAACTGCCGTCTGATTGGTCTGCAAGTTGTTTTTTTTAGGATAAGGTCAAGGTATAAATTCATGGACCTGACGCAGACGTAGACACACTCCCTGCGTTACTATGTGCTTTTGAGGCTAACTATGGCTTGCCCCCTTGCGAATGCCAAGATAAATGAAAAGCAAGTTTCCTCCGCCGTTGTCTCTTGCGAGGATGCTTAAGGACCACACCCGTGCTGGAGGATCGTACTCGTCCCTGCTGTCCTTTTGATTCGTCCCTTTGTTTTCCCGTCACGTCGTCCAGCTCTGCAGTCGGATGCAGCAATTGGTAACTTTGCATATGTTTGGGAGAAAATCGATATCAACGAAACAGAAACAACGTAGTGCCTTCCCCCTGCTGCTGTTCCCCTCGATAAATGTGCACAAAACAACTCTTCGCTCCATGTATACCATTGCAAATACTCCCACTGCCAATGCACCCATCTACTCACGTAACGCAAACCTCTTGGCCTTCTCTTTCTTGTCTTGATCTTCTCGAGTTACCTTGTACCTTGTACCTTTTTTTTTTTTTTTTTTTTTTTTTTTTTTTTCCCCGCTTCCTCATTCCTATCTTTATCTCTATCTCCATCTCCTCCATCTCCATCTTTATCTCTTACCCAGTTTCGTCCTCCCCTTTGCTCCTTCGTCGATCCCCCTTACACGCTACCGCTACTCAAACTAGCTACTTCTTATCCCAGCAGCCGCGTCCACCGTCGTCGCTCAAATTCTCTTGCTCCCCACTCACATAGCCCGCTTCCCCACATTCTGTTCCCTCAGGACCTCCTGCCGGGTTCCGTAACTGCCATACTTTTTGTGGGACGAGTCACTCTCAGCGTTTGCTCTGTCTCTCGTTCTACCAATCGTACTTTTCTTAATCCTTGAGCCCCTGACTGCACAGTAAGTATCGGTCCTTTCTACCGCGGCAGCTTGTTCTCTACTACCTATATTCATCCACATGGAATCATTGATCGAGAACTATGGCGCGCTCTACGTCGACTTTGTCTTTGAGCCCTTCCAGTCATCAACCCCACTCTAGTGCTGCCCATGCGTTCCCTAAAAACAACCTCACTATCGTGCCCACCCTTGCTCCTTCGCCCTCTGGTCCGTGGTTTATTTATTTGTGCACCTCAATCCAGCCCCTCTTCGGCACATACCTCGCTCGTACATTCGCCTAACTTTACACTCAAACAAATGTTTGTTTGACAAACCATATCGTTGTATCTCTGATGTTTGACTATTGTCCCTGTGCTCCGGTCGAGGCATGGGACCCATGTGGCGCGATACCCCACTTCACCTCTCCATCTTTTCTCACACACCCAAGCATACCTTGTCCAAAGCCGATCGCCGTACACGTATGCAGTTGATACAGTGGAAATTCCAGCACGTTTGCCTTTTACCCGACAGATAATAAAGGGTATCGAACGGCTTTTGCTGTGGTGCACCAGTAGAACTCTGCTTTATCTTTTCCTTTTCCATCCATGTAGCTCTTGGACCTCCCTTTACCAAACCTTGCTTTATCATATTTCCTCGTAGTGCATCCGCCCCACATTCTAATCACCCTTCTATCAGCCCTTCATACCATTGTCCCCAGCTGCACGTCTGCACGGAAGCACATAGTCCATAATCTAATCCGCAGGAAACTGCCGTCAGCCCATTTCCTTCTCCTCTGCGTTTTTGCCCGCGCCCTAAGAAGCGCCAGCGAGCTCGACGCCACCCAAGGCCTTGCCCTTGACAAACGTGTTAGCATTAGCACCCACCCTATAATATGGCAGAATCCATGGGCATCGATCTTCAGTCCCCGCGGGGAGAACTCCGAACTGCATTCTACAACCCTCATGAGGTCAAGCGACGCCGACGAACGTCCAGGAGTCAGTTCAAGACCCTCGAAAAAGCTTTTACCGAGAACCCAAAGCCCGATGCAAGCACCCGCAGACACCTTGCACAGAGGCTTTCCATGAGCCCCAGAGGAATCCAGGTTTGGTTTCAAAACAGAAGAGCCAAGAGCAAGCAGGCGAATGCCACACCGACCGTCACGACTAATGGCCAGAGCAACATACCCTGTGTTATTACCTTTAATCGAGATCAATTACACAAACATAATTTGCCTAACGGCGCATTGACGGGTGTTGGTCGACTGGAGCCGCAAGTTGAGAGTGAGCTTTTCAAAAACAAGACACAAAACACAGATGGTAAACTGCACACGAGTATAAACACCCCTACTCAACAAACTACCTTTACGAACGGCACCACAAGTTCTGGAATGCCCTGCGCAGGGTCCACCATCACGTTCTTGTTGCCCTCGGCGCAGCTACCATCCAAAATGGACTCAAGACAATTCCAAAGCATATCACATCATAGCACATTTAGCTCCCAACGAGGTTGGGATGATCACTTGCATGCCTCGTCGCTCGGTACGCAGGGTCAGGCATCATCAGCGTACATCGGACAACATCCTCTGGAGTTGCAACAATCTAATTATGCTGAAGACGTAGCAAAGGGGCCTCTTGATTCCAATAAGATGGTTTCCGCCATACCGTCCACCGAGTCCAGTATCAGTTCTTCTGTCGAGACCACAGAGCTGGTCCAAGGTACCGTTGGGATGAAGGGGATTCGAACATATTTGTAATTCAGAAATAAAAAATATATATATATATATGCTAACTTCAATCTAACTGCCCTTGGTTAGGTGGCTCGCAGATGCCACTCAATAATTGCGCGGAAATGAATAACCGCCGTCCATCGACCTTGAGTTTGATGCGCCGAATGTCTATGCCAGCCAGCATTAGTAGCAGCGATACAATTGGCGCGATTATGTGGAGTGCCCAAGGCCCTAGCTCTTCCATGGAAGACGTTCAGCGCTCGCTTCACCACACTGCCCAGAACCCACCCGACTTTGCGATGCAAGCACCGGCTCTTCATCCACTTGAATTTGAGACTACAGCTCTGAGCAGGCCTTTATCAACGCATGGCCCAACTCAGCCGTCATTTGAGCACAGCGGGAGTATTATGGACGCACGGACACGGATCCAATCGTACCCATTGTCTCGTAGAGTGTCAATTCATGAAACGGGAAGCTATCTGACACAGCGTGGATTGAAGCTGAAGGGTGTGGTCGGGCATGATTCGCAAAGCACGCATTCATCTGAGGGCGGGTCCCGGATTGCTGCTGCTGCTGCTGCCCGCAGGCGGAGAAGAAGCAGTGTCGGCAAGCTGGCCAATATCGCCACCAACTCGTCAACAACCGCCACTACCGATACCGATAGTACAGAGGACGTGTTATTAGCTGGAACGGTCTCAAGTACTTTTCTCGCTCCGTCCTCATCATCCAACCTACTGGCTTTCGCAATTCCGGCTCCAATATCAAAAATGAATGCGATGACCAGCACTAGCAATACTTCATCAGGCATGCAGTTTGCATTAGGATACGCCAATGACAGCACAATGGATATTTGGATGGAGGACAGAAGCGATCAAAGGGCCGTCACTACGCCGCATTCTTTACATACCAGTAGTCCTGGTTCAATAGTAGAAGGATCTACAGCCGGCGCCATATCCATAAATGTATTAGGAATCTGTCCACCTTCGGGGCAGGCGAAAACTACTGCAAGCAGCACACAGCACTCAGGATTGTTAATCGACGCAGGGCCTATCATCACAACCCTGCCTCAAGGAAGAACTGAAGTGCCCAAAGATGTCAAGAAGGAACGCAGGCGATCCTCTCTTAAAACTGTCAAAACGAGATCCCAGTCAGGGGCACGCGTTCAGTTTGACCTACAGCAACCATCATCCGAGCTACTGTATCCTTTCCCAGCTGCAAATGGCGGAGAAAACTCTACGCATCCACAGCAGCATCTAGATGATAACAACAAATCTGGACAGTCCCACTCATGGCTGGATGAAACGCTACTGGGGATTCCTCTGAACAAAGGCAAGCAGATGAACTTGCTAGATGCTTCGGTGGCGACTAGTACAGCGGCAACCTCAACCAAGGCACCAGCATTCCAACAATTGCCTATTAGTTATGTGCAGGCGCCTCAGCTACATAGCTCTCCAGAGCCAGACGACAACGATTTTAATTCGTATTTAGCGGTCCTTCAAGCCTCAGACACGTCGCTGGGTCACACTACTCCAGTCGTGGATCAGGCCTCCCAGGAGCTACAGCATATCCGACGCAACTCATGTCCACCGGGGTTCATAGAAAGTTTCAACAGGGATCTGCATATTGTAGCGGATCCTTCGAACTCAACCAGCAGTCAAGCATCAACGCCAAGGGATGTTGCTGTGCTTCAGCTTCAGCAGCAACTCAGTCGACAAATTCAAGTGCACCAGCAGCGACAGGACTTTGATTGCACCCAACCTAGTCCTGTGGGACCATCCTTTTCGTCTCAACAGCAGGAGCAGACGCACAGGCAACAGCAACAGCAACAGCAGCATCTGATCTCAGCTCAAGTCTTAACTCTCAGCCCAATTCACCAGGATCCTCTTGCAACATTTCATGGGACTCAGCAACTCATGCAGGGTGCAGCACTCAGTCAGATACACCTACAGCATCTCGGACTTCCACCTTCAGAGGAGCGTTCTTTGCTGCTCCAAGAACAGAGTCCAGAAAGTCCGATACCGTCCGATGCCAGATTTAGGGACACGAACGACGGTCTTGGGAACAATAGGGTCGACAAAGAGCCCTCCCTTACTCGACGAATGCACCACTCCGATGGCGAGCAGCGCCATTCATTACCTGGTCCTTATCACCTACCACAACTTCAGACTCCGAGAATGCTGGCACAGCTTCAGCATCAGTTTGAACACCCCGCATGGTCAAGGACGCTCCCAGGAAGCGGTCTTCGAGCTGCAAATGCCCGACTCTCCTTGCTTATGTCGCCTCAAGGTGTAAGTATTGCTTAGACAATGCTGAGCGTGACAGCGGATCCTGGCAAATATTTATTCATTTCATTTCATTTCATTTTATAGCAATCTATGGGTAGACGTTTTTCTGAGCCAGGCAACACTACCAGAGATATCACGGGTGCTGACAGTGCACTGCAGCCAGATTTATCTCAGAATGTGCTCTGCTCGCCTCTGACACTAGAGGTCACCAACGTAGACCAGCAGCAGCTTAGTTTTGGATCCATGGATCATGCAAAAGACACGGTTCCACGCTTAACAATTCTAGACTCGTCCTTCCCAAAGTCACTGCACCCATTCGACGAGTCGCTACCTGTAGAAGTAGAGGCTCCTACTCTTGCACCTGGATCGCTGCATAGGGCTTCCACAACAGCAGTGACAGCTTCATCTTCATCCGGTCTTCGCCCCAGTCCCTTGATACCAGCGGCACAAGTGGCATCACAGGGGTCATCTTTTTCACCTTCGCCTTCACCCTCACCCTCACTGACTGCGTCTAAATACGGCGCGAATGGAAACCAGCATGTCCCTGTATCAATGCCGTCGAGCGAGCAGGGCTCGAGTCCTTTAGGACTTTTGAGCCCTTTGAATACGCCTTCCAGCGGAAACTCGCCATCAATGTCCATTGCATTTGGACAAACAGTTGAGGCTCCTTTGTTGATGCGTACCCATAGCTTGGACTCTCTCATGTGGTCTCATACCCCCCGGGAGCCCCCAACTAGTTTCACAGAGACAGGTCCATGCACCCCATCTCGGAGACACTCTGAGGGACCAACCTCCGCTACAGCAGCGTCTTCCAGGACATCCTTATCTTATCAGGAGAGACCTGTCTACTTGCAGGAACATCAGCTACAACCATTACAACAGGACGTCTCGGGCCACGACCTTCAGCAGCCCCTTCAGTCATATTTCCAATCACATCTTTTGCCATCTCCTTCTTCATCCCCATTTCCAGCTCAGATCCCGCTGGGGTTCGCTCCAATTGAACATGCATACCGTACGCCATATCCTCAGCAAATCCCTATGTGGGTAACACTCCCAACTATCATGCAATCTCCTCCCTCGCATTCCCCGCAGGCTTTCCCATCCCAGAGCAGTTTCCAGAATCCGCCTCTTAAAACAAACCCCTCGATTCGTGATGTACAGGGGGTTATGAACAAGAGTATTATTGGCGATTCAAACGTTGCTGTCATCAGCCATGTTGCTACCCTACAACGGAAACTTCCACACGCGCATTACCCATTCCCCTCGTCGCCACCATTGCAACAGCAGCAAGGGTATCTTGAGCAATCAACGCCTCCTCCGCATGCAGAAGGGAATTATCATTCGCAACCGCAGCAAAAAATGGGGGAGGTCCAGAGTCAGCAAGGTCATTTGGCCATATCCTCTGCTCCACTTTTACCTGCCGATCTAACGTCAGTAGCCATACCAGTTTTCTCAGATACCAAGACATTTGAGGAGTACAAGCACCAGATGTTTATTCTAGAGCATCAGCGCTTACAAAAGCGTCAAGAACAATTGAATCTGGCTAAACAACAACAGCAGCAGCAGTTGGAGGAACAAGCGCGCGAAAGGGTGGAGGTCTAGATCAAAGTGAAGAGCTGGTTCCTTTTGAAGGAACAGCGCGCATAGCGTTTGTATAGTAAGACGATCAAGATGTCTTCGTTCCCGTCATCATGCTGGGCTCGAATAATTGGTGGCAACACGCGTTGTTTGTTTTCTTGCGTTTTTTTTTCTCGCAAGCCACAGATGCGTATAAAGCTGAGGCAGCAATTTTTTTCTCCTGCTTCCTTATCCTTCTCCACTCTGGTAAGTCATTCCTTCTACTTTTCTCCAGCCCACCCAATTGACCCATATCCACCTCGGACATCCGTATGGATGATGTTTACAAACAACGAATTTCTTCAACTGAAAGACCATGTTGAATAATCTTAACAGAGCTTTTTAACCCTGACTATACATACGATTGTCCGATCCTTATTTTTTATTCATTCCTCACTTCATCTGATCTTGATGAGCAAAAAAAACTAATCTTTTTTTTTTTTTTTGCACTTCAGTGTGTTGCATAGAGAAATAAATACCGGATTATACTCTCAAGTTTTCTATATGTGTCATGTTGTATCTCTGGTGTCCATGATGGATACACAATCCGTTTGGCGTTGGCATGAATGAAAAGGGTATTCGCAAGCAAAAATTGAGAATCGATGATATGGATGGATCCAAGATGATGTATTTTTTATACTATTTCTGGTACCTCTTATCTCAACGGCGTCCCCGTCGAGGCTTCGGTCTCTTCCGCGATGTTCGTAATGGTCACAACCTTGACTAGCTGATTGGATCCATCCATCATCATCGTTATCAATCCTTTTCTTGCTAAACCCTCGTGATTGTGCAATTGGGGATGTGAGAATTGAATTGGGACATTGCCTTGGGTGTTTTAAGTAGATCATACATAATGCGATTAAAAGACATTCTCAACACAATTGCCTTGTTTCTGAACATTGATTTACTGGTTGTATTCGCTGCCTGCTTCGTTCATGTTTAATCTATCATTCTATTTACGACCGAGATCAATGTCCTCGACAATTGACCAGACCTCATTGATAATGTTCTTTTGGGCAGCCAATGTTGCTTCCGGAGAGGTATCACCATCCTCGCCACAGCATCCACGGACACAGAGGAAGCGACGGCCAATCAAGAGCTGGCCATCGGTTACTTGGCGACCACAACCATCTACGACCACACCGCCAGCCTCTCGCACAATGATGATTCCGGCACAGACATCCCTATCATCGAGCACACAATAATCATAGTTAGTATTAAAAGAGTGGCTCTTGAGGGACGCGTTTAGTTGCTGGCAACGTACAAATAGCCAACGCCTTCACTCGGCAACTCACCATTCCCAGCATCCGACCTCCCAGTAGACATCCACCTGTCCCTGGGCCAGAGCCATCATGTTCATAGCAGCACTGCCCAAGCAACGGATACCGTGTGCGTGGCCAACGGCGCGTCCAGGCGCGAGATCAGAGGGGTCTCTTGCAGAGAGGTTGCGCAAAGACTTGACCTTGGGATCAATGACGTCGGTCTTGCGATCAGATCCGTATTCACCAGCGACTAGGGCCATTGAGAGCGAGGGCAGTGGTGGTGCTGGATGAGGGTAGGACAGTGGCAGGCGCTTGCCCTGCTCGCGTGGGTCCTCGTCAATCTTGGAGAGATAAGCGCCCAAGCCCTTTGCCGCTGTGAAGAGCTACGGGGGGGTGAGAGAGGGGGGGGGAGATTAATAACAGTAAACATGCGTCTAATCAGGAAAACGATTGTGGAGACGTGTGCACGACGTATCCATATCATTGGACGTACGCGAAAAAGATAACATGGTAAACATAACAATGTTGGGCCCCATCAAATAACATTATAGAGCCACGACAAAATAATGTTTACCTGATTGAGAATAGGATTATAAATGACACCGACGACGGGTTCTTGGTTGATGGCCAAGCCAATCGAGATGCAGACGAAAGGGAAACTAACAAGAGATAAGAGAGAAAATAGAGAAGGAAGGCGAATAAGGACCGATGGTCATTGAAGCCAGGCAAGATTCAATGCATACCTCGTCGAAGAATACTTTACCCATGAACAAAGTTGGTGGTACCATCAATCGGATCGACAATCCAGGTGGGTGCGTCCGTAAGACCACACTCCTCTCCTGCAGCAACGGTCTCTTCCCCGATAAATCTATTCGCACAAGAATCATAAACCATTGACGTTAGAGACATCCTGACTGCTTCACGACATCCACAGAGATCTCTCAGGATCAATTGATCGAGATAACAAGAGTTATATGTGCTTCAAGAGAAAGCTGACATACGAGTGGGTCTTCATCTTTTCAGCAATCTCGGCGCGGACCATCTTCTCCACCTTCTGATCCCACACGGTGACCAGGTCGGCAGTGTTGCCCTTCTTAACCAGGAGTGCACTACGCTCGGGAGAAAAGCGGGTGTTGAATCCCTCGAGGATGACGGGGCCAGCCAGCTTGGCCAGGTGGATGGCGAATTTCAAGTAGGACTCGAGGTCCGCGGTGGTGTAGCTCATGAGTGATGTTTAGGTGATGTTCGGAAGAGAATGAAGATTGAAAGGATCAAGTTTGTGGGAAGGTCCTCGAGCTGAAACGTTCAGCGTGGGGGGAATTTTGTCACGTAAGACCACGGTGCATACGTGAATCTGCAAACCATTCAGGAAGACATGCCATAGACTGCCTCTCCTCATTCATCTTGTCCATCCCCTCGCACTGTATGTATAGAATGAATGAAAAGAGCGCAGCTTCCCTTCTACCAATAACGGCTGAGAGCGAAGCTCATATCTCCTCTACACACAATGCTATAGAGAGACTTAGACAACTCCGTCGAGGTTTCTTCAAGCTGGGTCTCCTGGGCCTGGCCGCCTATTATCTTCTTTGCGCCCTATTTGATAATGCTGCGGACGATGGGCGCGGCTCAAGCAACAAGCACCATCATGAAATTAGCCATGGTTCCAAGTTCCAGTTCGAAAAGCATATGCAGGTAGATATTGATCAGCTTGTAGCCGGCACTTTAGAGTCCAAGTAAGAACACTCGATCGTTAATCCTTGACAAGTACTTCGCACTGCTATCTTGGGAACACTGCTTACGCCACCAATTTTACCGACTACCACCTTTAGTATCGTTTGGGATCGCTTGGCAGAAATGACCGACACCTATGGTCCCCGCATTGTCGGTTCTGAGACATTAGAGAAGGTGAGTTGGAAAAATTCTATTACTCGTGTGATTGCCGTCTTCTTTCAACTACGAGAGCGACTATAATCATTATCCACCGCTGTATGCCATTTTATAGTCAATTGACTGGGTGGTGGAGAAGGTAAAGGCAGATAACCTTTCTGTTACCACAGAAGAGGTGGTTGTCGATTATTGGCAACGCAACCATGAGTCACTGCACTTCCTCTCGCCAACCCGCGGTCCCGTCAAGATGCACATTCTCGGTCTCGGATATAGTGTCTCTACACCCGACCCAATCAATGGGCTTGTGGCAGAGATCGTCGTAGCACACTCCAAGGAGGAACTCGACGAACTGGCGAAAGCTGGCAAGGTCGAGGGTAAGGTCGTCGTTTGGAACAAACCATTCTCGCAATATGACGAGGACTTCGTCTTTCGAGCATTTGGTGCCATCTGGGCGCAAGAGCACGGAGCTGTCGCATCCCTTGTTCGATCCCTAGGACCTTTCTCGCTGCAAACACCCCACACGGGGGCTGCCGATCCTGCGAACATTCCTGCAGCTTCCGTCTCTGCTGAGGATGCCGATCTCCTGCAACGCTCTTTTCAAAGACACCAACAAGATCCGGAACGATTTCCTGAATGGCCCAGGATCAGATTGGTCATGGGTGCGGCCACAGAACTTGACGCCAAGATCTCAAGAAACATCATTATCGAACTGAAGGGGCGAGATACCCCGGGGGAGGTTGTTGTCATTGGTGGACACATTGATAGCTGGGACGTCGGTAGCGGTGCCGTGGATGACGGCGCTGGGTGCTTTATCGCCTGGGAAACACTGCGTCAACTAAGCCGACTGGAGAGGCCCCCGCGCAGGACAGTGAGAGTGGTATTCTGGACTTCGGAGGAGAATACTGCTGCTGGGGCCGAGGTTTATGCCGAAAACCATCCCGAGAGCGACTCGAACCGCCATGTCTTTGCATTCGAGTCGGATATTGGCGTGTTTGATGCTTATGGAATCGCGTTCACTCCTGGACGTCGCAACGAGGGTCTGAATGAACTGACGGGCTTCAACTCTTTTAAGTACCTGGCGGCTGCCGGGAAACATTTCATGGGCGCTCGTAAGGACCTAGGATATCCTGGGGCAGGGCAGTACGTTCTTCCGGATGGCGAAGGCGAGGATATCAATCCCCTGTGCAACCGCGGTGTTGCCTGTGCTCAGTTCACCCCCGCCGACCCATTCCCTCTTCCCTATTCAACGTCCCCATACGCTGTCCCAAGCATGACTGAAGGACATCGCCATCACAAGCACCACCGGCACCATCGGCATCATGGCGGTGATAACAAAGATGTCAATCCACCGCGCCGCCCTTTGGACTCTGGTTACTTCTACTACCACCACACAGAGGCAGACACTATGGGGGCGTTTACGCCTGAACAACTGAAGCGCTCTGCAGCTGTTATGGCTATCTGGACATACATCGTAGCGGAGAGCACGGTCGATCTATAGTATTCCAAATAAGACGCGACGTAGATTGATCAAACGCGACATCATGAGTTTAGCTTAGGCCTTCCCGCCCCCACAAATAAAAGGTTTGCTTTCATATTCATAAGTCCATTATGTCCATTACGTTTCCCTCTTCAACGTCTCACGAATCCCACACTTTCATTCCCAAAACCATGCGTGTTCTTGTCACCGGTGCCTCAGGTCTTCTCGGCCGTGCTGTCGTGTCTGAGTTTAAGAATTCAGGCCATGAAGGTTGGAATGATCATCCCAGTACTGGCCGCCTCATTTATGAGAATCCTCAAAACTGACCACTGGAAACTGTGCTGTCTTTATAATAAGTGATTGGCGTTGCATTCTCTCGTGCACAGGGCGATCTCAAGAAGGTAATTCTATCGCGCCAGCAGCCTGAACATGCACAATTGCTCGCTCTGGCCATCTCTGTCTCTAAATGTGCATTATATCTTTTCAAGTTGAATTTAGAGGACTCTACTGCCGTGGAGGCGTTTGTGGATCAGGAGAAGCCTGACGGTATGTGGTTGAAAGAGCACTTGGATTGGCGAAGTGTAGTAGGTGTCTGAATTGGAGCTCTAATCCCCTTGTCCTTGGTCAATTGCTTGGTCGTAGTTATTGTTCACTGCGCTGCCGAGCGTCGCCCCGACGTAGTCGAGAAGAACCCCAATGGGGCAAAGAACGTAAGGTTGAGCTCGGGTCAATTGGAATATTTTTAGTTTACGTGTTATGTGTTTAACCGCCGCTGTCCTTATCGTGTTTTGGTCATTGTAGCTCAACGTTCAGGTTCCCGGACTGCTGGCGGATATATCCAACGACCGGGGAATCCTGTTGATTTACATCTCCACTGATTACGTTTTTGATGGCACTAGCCCACCTTACGACGTCCGCGATAAGGCCAACCCATTGAATGTCTATGGTGAGTGCATGTCCATTTTGTCGCGTTTTTTAGTACTGTTAATTCGGAGGGTGCCTAACGCCGATTGTCGAGACGCATAGGTCAGACCAAGTACGATGGGGAACTCGAGGTCAAAAGACTCAACTCCTCTGCTATTATCCTGAGAGTCCCCATTCTTTATGGGGAAACAGAATACAATGGCGAATCTGCCGTCAATGCCTTGATTGACAGCGTCAAAGATGTAAGTCTGGATGTTGCATTTGCAAGTACAGCGAGATGCCCTATTTAACTACTGTATCTTCTGATCGTAGGGCAAAGCTACGACCATGGATGACTATGCTATTCGCTACCCAACCAATGGTAACAGAGGGCATCTCTCAGAATTAGCATGAATCCGTTGTATGAATAGCTGTACTCATAGTATTTTATTCTCATTGCTTTATAGTCGCCGATGTCGCCCGAGTGATCAAGGACCTGTCGCTCAAGGTCCGCCACGAAAAAGTGTTCATTTCCGGCATTCTTCACTTTTCTGCCGAAGAAAAGTTCACGAAATATAGGATGTGCGGTATGTTGTCTGTCTCCGCACTTTCTGTCGATCGATCCTCTGCTCAGAACACTCAGTTAATCACTTTTTTTGACGGTTCCCTAGAGGTGATCGCTAAAGTTCTTGGAACCTCCATGGACCATCTTGAATCAGTCTCCACTGCTCCCAAAGACGGAGGAAGTATGTTATCTTTTTTGAACCAAAAGCGGAGTCAAGAAAATGTTACTTGTGGTGCTCACCTTGAGGTGCTAGATATGCATGCAATAACGCACATGATGACCAGCCTGGCATCGTCGTAATATTTTTTACTAACCGCCATTTCATTCAATTTTGATGGCTGTACTTTTTCACTCTCTATATTAGCTACAAGGCCGTATGATTGCCACCTCTCCAACCGATGCCTCAATGGTGTTGGCATTAACACGCACTGTGTTAAGTTTGAAGACTGGATGCAGCGTTGGCTGACCAAGGCCTGAAAGAGTCTGTTGCCACGGTTAAAATGGAGCCAAGGAGGTGATAGGATCCTTAGCTAGCGTCGCATGAAAACCGAATAAATTACAGGACCAGTCCAGCTGTCGTTACTGTGAGAGCCCGGTACTGAGGGCCGTGGCGACCAGGGATACTCCACTTAGTTGGCTGTGCAGGAATGTCGTGTTTTACCTGGGTGAGAGAGGCATATGAACCTAATGGCTCAGTTAACTTATGGGTGTATCGCATGGCTGTTGTAGTATTTTTTAGCCGTTCTATTTTCGAAGTCGTTTTTCTCTTCTCGCACATGTAGGATGAAGTTCAATGAAGTTCAATGAAGTCTATCATGGAAGGGCTGAATGTTCTCTTCTCCGATAGTCCAGAGCGTATTGAGAGCAGTTTTGGGTTGAACGGATAGATCATTGTGTGTGCATTAACGCCAGGCAGGCCCGGGTGGCGCTGTCTCCACACAGTGCACTCAGGAATAGAAAGAGAAAGCGAAAAACAAGACAAAAGAGACAGGGCGGGTTGAGTGGGCTCGTGATACTAATAACAATTATCGCCATCGCGAATGCGAAAGCGGAGGAAATGCGCCCCCGGCTTTGTTGTTTTCGTATGTGTTGTTTGTCTTTGTTCAAATGCAAATGTAATCTGCCGATAAAGCCTCGTCTGTGTCTGTGTCTGTGTCTGTGTGCTGTTTGTCCGAATACACATTAAGTTTTTTCTTATTTTGAAAAGGAAGACAGACGAACGCCCAGCAATTGAACAGGGCCAGAACATTTGCCCCCCCTCCTCTTTTTCTTTTCTTCATTCTCTGCATCATCACCCTCAAGCTACTCCATCCTCATCTGCATCTGCCATTCTACTTTTCTTTTTCATTTTTCTTATTTGTAGCTGCAGCTGTTGCTGTGCCTGAAGATAACTCTCCTTTTTTGAACAGGACACTCTATTGGTCTCACTTCACTCACGTTCCTTATTTTCATCCACTCGCATTTGTTCCTGATTATTGATACAAAACGAATCTCTAAATACCACCACCACCACCACTACTGCTACTACTACTATTACTATCGCCACATTAACACCAGCAATGACTCGACAGACAGCACGCGATGGGGATCTGGATTTTGAACAGATGTTGGGCGAGCTGGCGGCCATGAAAACGGACCTGGCCAACAGAGTAAGTGAAGATACTCTTTTTTGTAGGAGGCAGTTTATATATAGCCAGGTGATACATTCCAGATTTGCTGTTGAGGACTCGAGTCGAGAGTCTAGGGGTATGACTTGATGTTTGCTTTCACCTTCCTGAGGGGCTTGAGTAGATATCGACAGGCTGGTGTTGAAGCGCATGGTCAACATGCCATCTAGTCGATCCAAACTCGACTGCCGAGAGTCATTTTTGAGGAGCATCCGCCTCAAACGATCGACTCCTCTTTTGTTTCTTTGTTGGCACCGCCTTCAATTCTTTCAGCTGTCTAGCTGTATTTAATTTAACAGTGGATTTCTCATTAATCTGTGCGACATAAATGAACTCCCGCCGTTCCTTTGTTCATCCTTACTCTTATATTCCGCCCCTATTGTCGAACCTACGAACCTAGCAAGCAAATCGTGTCGCTTCCCGTCCTACGAGATCACGCACCGTAACTGCAGATGGCGAGCCTCGGCGCGTACGCGCGAGACGTGCCGCAACAGATCATGCAGATGTTCCTCTGTCTGTCGAGGCGCCCTCAACTGCATCAGCCATCTCCAACCAAACAATCCTCTCGCCAACATCGCCAGTCGCCAGTCGATCGGCCACATTGCTCGCCAGTTTGCACGATTCAGATCACGATAAAGAGCAAGGTCGGGAGCCAAGCCCTAGTGCGACTCAGGGACAGGAACAGCGTCCAAAGAAGAGTGATCAGGGTCAACAACCAGAGATGAGGATCGAGACTACACTTCCAGATACACCCCTCCACAGCTCGGAGGCTGCAACAAAATCTGTCCAGTCCGTGCAAAGTATTGAGCCCGATGACTTACTTGGGAGCAGCAGTCTAGCCCGCTCTGAGAGTCGCCGCAATCCAGCTGCACCATTGCCACCAAAATCAGCACAGCGCTCTCGATCGATTTCCAACAACTCTGGCCGAACCTCTCGGACCTTTCATAACGAGGGTGAGATCAATCGCGAGAACGACATTATGCCCAACAGTCAGGAAATTTCGCCTCAGGAAACTTCTACAGCGATATTCGGGTCAAATACCCCGGCTCGCCCATCTCCTCGGACCTTTGCATCGGCTCCTGCGATAACAGCGGGCAATGGCCAGCAGGCAGCATCATCGCCTCGTTTGCCTGCACGCTCCAATAGTCGAAATTATGTCAGACCCTCCGCTTCTGGTACTTCTTCCACCTCAGACCAAACGCCCCAAGGGTCAAGGTCCGCATCTAGACGCAACACATTTTCAAAATCTGAAGGTGGACAGGAAGGCAGCCTGTACATTGGCACGCCCTCCATTGCAGAGGACCGAGAGCTCACTTTTGTATCGCAGTCTACTCAGGATCAGCAGCAAAGGCAGCAACTAGCCTCGACACTATCAGAGGAAGCACCTCAGCGAATTCCAACGAAGAAGCCCTCTAATAGCACTCTCAGACGACCTAATGAAGACGAAGGGTCGCCCAACCCATCTATAGCGCCTTCCCTTTCGCCATCTAGCACCATCCCTTCGCCAGTATTTGGCCAGCATGATGCAACGCTCAAGCACGAGGAACATGAACGCCAAGGGCGCCCCGCTCTTCGTAAGCAACAGTCAGCTGATCCAGCGGCGATGCATCGTCAGTACCAACAAGATCCTCCTACGGTTCGCGACAATCTTCCGAGTCGACAAGCGTCCGAAAGGCGACCAGACCGCGCCCGCAACTATTCGAACTCCGGAAATACTGACGACGAACAGTTGCCCGAGCGCGGTAGAGCTCAGAACCAGGATGGTGGCTCCTCAAAGGGCGGCATGTTTTCCTGGGTGCGATCAAGGAGCAAGTCCAGAGATGCTACGAGTACTCGTCAAAACCAAGATACTGTAAGGACCAATCGCTCCTGGTATAAATGCCGCACATATATATGTATACATATATACTCTCATGTCACTGACTTGAACTACCTGCTTTTATCATGTATGTTTTAGCCTGCGTATCCAGATTACAACCCTTCTTTGATCCCAAGTCGTAGTGCCAGCTCATCCGGGAGCCGTACCAAGTCGCTTCCCAGGAAACCTTCGAACCAAAATCTTCACGCCACTAACGATGGCTGGCCACCATATTCGCCTGGTACCCTCAATAGTCATCCCACCACACCGGGAGGTTCAGTTCTCAATAGATCTCTATCGAAGTCTAACCTCATCCCATCAAAGTTCGGCACTCCACTGAGCACACCGAATGAAACATCACAGCCTCCGCCGTTGCTCAACGTCAGCACAAATATGAATACGATTCATCATGAAAAGATGGTTCGTGGAATGGGTATGGGAAGTACACCTATCGCACCAACGGTTTTGCTCACACCTCAGCCCTCGTTTCCCCCAACTGGCTCCAACGGAGGCGCACCTGGAGGAGGCAAAAGAAATATGGCCTTGGCCATGATGAAGCAGGATGGATCTCCGAGTTCCAGTGAGTTGCAGATGCAGCAGCGACACCAGCAGCTTCAGCAGGCACAAATGCAGCACATCCAGCAACAGCAGCAGCGACTGGCCACCACCTCTGCTACAAACTCGACATCCCCTCCAGCTACACCAACGAGCCCTCGAAATCAAAGTACACCCCAAGGTTCCTTGGCACCTTCAACACCGTCATCATCAACATCAGCAGCAGCGACAACGACACCAGCAACGCAACGTCTTGTTGCCACACGCATCTATATCCAAACGGAAACAGATTTTAAGTCGGTCAATCTTGCACCCAACTCGACTGCTCTTGATGTGTTGCATATGTTGCAACAGCGAGGAACGTTCGGCGACATCGGCGATAGCCGATACCACGACCGATGGACAGTGTTTGAGTACTCGAAAGAGTTTATGATTGAGCGTCCATTGCGCGATTTTGAGGTTTTGTTGGATGTGATGAAGACTTGGGAAGCTGATAAGGACAACAAGATGATCTGCAAGAGTTTCCCCGCGCGTAATGAGTTGTCGGCCAAGGAAGTAATCCGCCTGGTTGGACCCGCAGGACAAGAGGATTTTGTGCGACCACATGGCTGGGTGCATGTCGAGATGAAGAAGGGCAAGTGGGTGAAGAGGTATCTCCATACGACTGACACGGCCGTCTATCACTCCAAGGACAACAAGGTAATGTAACTTGCCTGGCCATTCCTACGATAGACCGGAGTAGGCATCATCAGGGCACCAACATGATACTCTGTATTTGACAACGATAGTTCACTGGAGAGAGCATGCTGTGTCTGCTGCGTAACTTTGACGTGTACGCGGTTCAAGTCCCACGGAAGAAGGCTCCTACGAAATTCGGATTTGCACTCAAGTCATCGGACAGCATCCACATGTTCGAGACGCCGGAGGACGACTATATCCATTACGTCTGCACTGAATCGGGGGAGTCCCTTCGAGACTGGTTGGTGGGTCTCCGTGCGATCAAGGTAGGAGAGAGAAAACGATCGATCGATCGATGTCACAGTGTTCATGGGCATGCGACATGGCAAAAGCGAATTTTATTAACATGGATTTTTTATTTCTTTCATTGCAGGGCATATTTATGTACCATGCTAATCCAGAAATGATTCGCCAGGGACAAAAGCGGGCAGAGGAACTGATGTCTTCCGGAAGCCAGGATGGATTGGCGAGAGGAAAGTTGACGGACGAACAGGTGAGCATAGTGGAAGCCAAACTCGCTGGGTTGGGCATGTCTTTGAGTAGTAGATCGCGCTAGTTATTTCCTTTGCTTCTTTTCAAAGCATCCTGTCATGCATGACTATCATCCCCTCCTCCTGTTTCCAGGTTCCTTTTCTTTTTTTCCAAACAAAAACAACAACAACAAAAGAGTTAAATAACTTCAAGAGACCACACCAGACCAGACAAACCAGATGCCGTTTTGGACAACGTAGACGGCCTGCTTATGCATAAAGGAGGAGAAGAGGTGGAAGAAGCAGCAGGAACCATTTCAGGGTCTTAGTGCACTCGCTGTTGCTGCTCTGAAAATTGAATGTAATGGGAGGACGACAACGATTTCGTTTGACAAGGAGCCCCATAAACAAAAGAAAAGGAGGTTGACCGAACAAACCTGCGTAACAAAAAGATCCAAACTTGTAAATGGACCACAGGGTCAAAGGATTGTGCATGTGCATCCCCCGTCTCTCTTTTCTCTCCTCCGTGAGGCATCTCTGGATTCTCGATCCTCGCCTCCTCCGCTCTATCCTCGGTCAATTTTTTTCTCACAGGGTCTCTTTTGTTCCATTTTCCATAAACTGCTGTTGTTTTGTCTCTCTTTTCACTTCCTTCAGTCTCCCCACAAGGAAAAAAAATAGTGCGGAGTATTATAAGTAACTGTTTTTTCTTCTTTGTTCGATGCATTTAATGCTGCATTTGTCTGTTGGCACACTGGCGGATCATTTGACGTTTTGAATTATGTCGTCGGCATCCCATCCTTTTTTTGTGCTGTTATTCAAGAGAGAGACACAGATATGGCGAACTTCCGGGAAAAAAAGTAAAGAGTGAGAGAGAGCAGAGTAGTCGGTCCATCCGTTCCTCCTCTTCCTCCTTACTATCGTGCTGCTCTCGTCGAATGTCTCCGATACATGCCCAGCACTTGACTATGCATACGCTGCGAGTGTATATAAATTAGCCTACAAAAAAAAAAAAAGGCGCTCCGTAATACAAAAAGGCGTGCATCCATTCTTTTTATACTTTACTCACCCTAACTAATCTCGTCTCTCTTCTTCCTCTCCTCCTAATCGATTTTTCTTTCTCTTTCACTCTCTCTCACTCTTTCGCACGCACACTCTTCTTCCCCCCTCTCTCTCTCTCCCATCGCTCCCAAGGCGACGATTATTACGACGCATTTTTATTCGCCGCACGGGGTCTCCGCTGATACTCTTCTACCTTCAAACACGGCCACCATCAGTTCCGCTTTGCATATCTCGCCGTTGAATTCGTCTGTCGCACACGATCGGCACGATCGCGAATTTCTGGTTCCTGGCCTGTCCACAACAGTAACGTCGACGACCAAAGAGGACTCTCCCACCACTCCTTCATCTCTATTAGCTTCTCCACCGATATCCTCGCGTTCCAACCCTGACCTAGCCAGCATTGAGCGACACACCGACAAAGGCCGTTTCGCGAACATCAGCAACACATCACGTATAGAAAATATGCCTACCACCAGCAATAGCAGTAACGGCACCAGCGGCAGTGGCAGTGGTGGCACCACTGCGAAGAATCCATTCATGGCAGGCAGTCTGCTGCAGCAGCGTGTCGAAGTCGAAAAGCAAGAGATCGAGGACATGAAGCTTCAACTTAAAATGAGGGAGCAAGCAGGCGTACTCGGGGCAAGGAATATGAGCATGAACCTGAATCTGAACGATAGCACCACCAACGGCTCCTTTCCTTACCAAACGGGCGGCCACGGTCGCGACCTCTCATCCGCTGGATCTGCCAATTCTCTTTCTTCTATCGCCTTGAGTCGCTCCCTTCAACATCAACAGGCACCACAATCGTCCCAACCAGCACCACCAAAATTTGGAGGTCCAGGGACACTTATCGAAAAAGGGGAGGCCCGAGCGGCCGAGCTCCTACAGCGGTCCAAGAGTGCAGGACCAGGACTGCTTCGCCCAGCGCATGTGAATGGTTCATCTGGTGCTGGTGGTGGCTACCGTCGTACAAGGTCCAAGGGCCGCATTCCTACTGAGGACCAAGTGCGATATGGAGGACCTGAGTCACCACGCTCCCCGGATTCATCTCCTAGTGTTCCATCCGTGCCGCAGGGGCCGCTTTTACAGTTCGATGACCCAGATGCCATGATCCAGCCAGGGCTGTTGCTTTCGAGAGCAAAATCGGCCAAACAGCCGTTTTTATCCAACCCGGTGAATAGCACTCACAATGGATATTTGTCGCGGACGAAAAACTCTGACAATGGTGGAAGATCCAGGGGCCGCCATGGAGGCCATGGCGCTTGTAGTCAAGAGGCTAGCCAAAGCAGGACGAAGATTAAACCGCTTGTCGATCTGGGCAGCATCAAGACGAACCAGGACGTCATTGGACCTGGGCTCCTGACAAACAGCAATACCTCAGCTGGAGCAGCGTCTGCAAAGTCGCCACGACGGAACAAGCCGCTGTTGGAGTTTTAGACCCTAAAATAGATCGCACAATCGTACAATTTTCTTGAGAGTAAAACGTGTGCCCCAACTTAACGATATCTGTCGTACATATCATGAACCTTTTGTGCGATATTTCGAGCTTATCCAGCTCTTGGGTCGCAGTTTTCAGGTCCGGCGCTCCAATCACGCATTAAGGGTGCGTAACCCAGAATAACCTCCCTTTGGATGATGAAAACAAAAAAGCCACTGGCAGGCACCTTTTGGCAGCGCCGAGGTGATGCGACAGGCTGTTGCATCAAAGTGTGGAAACAATACTCTCTCCAATCACTCCTCTCTTTCCTCCGGGAATTGACACACAATTACTCCTCTGACATAGGCGCAGGCTCGAGGTCAGACCAACGCCGCATCATCGACAGAAGGATATTGAGCTCTGTAGGTTGACTTCAGCTGTGGCCGTTATAACTCCTTAAGAACGTGCCCCTGGCCTTGAGGAATGCCCTTCTAATCGCGTTTTTGGTCTTTATGCCCTTCTCAGACCCACCTCAGGGCAGTCAAGCACCTCACCCTGTATTGGTTGACTTCTATCTGCTAAGACGAACAATGAAGTTATAAGCCTGATCAGAACCAGCGATTCCCTCCAGTCAACTCACCATATTATTTGGGACACTCGTGAACTGTTGGAGGTGAGTGCCTTGAGTCCATATCGAGACACGCTCCAGGATACGGGCCAAAGACATTGAGTAACAACGGTTAATATTTCTCTTCTACTATACCGTCTTTTTCATATAGGCCGGTTTACGTCGATCCAATATATTTTCAGCCAACGACTTGGCGCTCTCCACTAGGACACCAGATCCTGCGTCATCTGGATGCCCATTATAAGTCGGGTACTTCACCCGGCGAGCAAACGCAAACCACCTGTCCGGAGACATGGCTCTACATCTCGACCACAATATGCCCCATCGTCAACATCTATGGGTGTAGCATCGGGTCACTCTGCCAACACGCACACTCGGGGACCCCCAACGCGTACAAGGAGATCAGGATGCACTCACGCCCTTAGCAGTCATTCTTCATATCGCGAATCAGCATTTCCCGCTCAACTGCTTTCCTCTTTCCGCACAACATGTACACATCCTCAGCCGCAAACCTCCACATTCTCGGACCTTTATCCTGTATTTCGGTTCATACTTGAATCCAGATACGGCCATACTCATCAACGCGATAACCACTGCCTTTATTCCACGGCAGCCATTGCACGTCAGTTCTCCCTGAACAACAGTGATTGCTTCACCAAAAAGTCTTCGAGTACACAGATCGCCACATGTTCATGGAAAAACAGCTCTGAATTTATCACTAGGCGGCACTACACCTCTTCACGCATACCAACCGCAAACAAACAGCGTCTCACAATACGAAATGATTCTGGATCGCTATCGGCAAGGATCAACCCTCTTAGCCTATCAATTCACTCAGGAGCGAGGAGATCGGCGCTCAACTCCAGTATCGGGCATGTGCCTATACCCTCTCGCGCAATATCTCAGCACCACAGCACTCGAACATTAGAGGATATATCGGGCCTGCGGATACCAGAAGAATTTCTTCCAATTGAGTCAACGCAGCGACATGTATCGCCACTGTCATCCTTAATCTTCAAGAATTGGGTCGTGTCCCAGATTTCCCATGCTCGAGAGCTCTTCCAGAAACAGAATTACATGCAGGCGCTCGTTGTGATCGACAATTTCAAGGACCATGAATACATGCATGAGTTTTCGACAAATCCTTCTCTGGCGACAAAAACCACACGCCATCATCTGCAGGACCTATATCTTGTTGAATTTTGTTGTCGACTCGTGTGTGAGCATGAAGACCAGATGGGAAACATTGACATTCTGACGACACTGGAATCTCTCAATTCTTCAGTTCTGAAGTCCATACAAACGCTCCAAACGCGCTCCCGGACGGAGTTCAGGACAACATTCCAGTTGTATCAGGACCCATTCGTCGATTATACGCTTGCGATCCTGACAAGATACTGGAGTCGGCTTATGCTCGCACAGGAATCTTGGCCATTGTCTCCAGAATTTTCTACTGAGCAGGCATCTCTGGCTTCGGCTGCGTTGCCTGTGCTAAGGGCGATTATGAACCGGAGGCTGTTTCCATCATCTACATCCGTTCTGACGGACCTCACGACAGCGGATGCATTGGGATCGAGCTCAAGGAGGGCGGTGCTCGAGATGTGTCTTGTCGCTAATGACAGTGCAAGTGCGATGCATTGGGTCTGGTTATGGGACAGGCGCGACCGCAAGGACTGGCTGGACCAATGGAACCAACCAGACATCAGGCAATGGCTGGTTGGGCATTTCCTTCAGAGCGATCGACCAGACTGGGCCATTGATCTAGTCAGATTAGCCAACAGATCCAGTGCAACGCCACAACTATGGATTCAGGACCTGGTTTTTTCAATATCCAACATCTCATCGTCCGTCGATCTCAAGGGGAAACATGCACTCGAGGAGATACTGCGGCTCTCAGACATGGACACTGGCGCCTTCGTGAAAAAGAAGCAGTACTATAATCTTGACTCATGGAGTCGTCTAGACCATCTGCAGTCATGGCTATCTGGTTTGCAGAATCCGAAACTTGAGTTTAGCTGCGACAAACATTTGGTGGAGCATCGACTCGGGCGGGAGATGGCTATGGTCGGAGTTCTCTCGGGGATTCTCTCACGGGAAGATATTGCGCATTCTGTCGGCCCCGGAATTTTAGCTACCATTTGCTCTGTACGACCGCCAATACAGTACCACTCTGTCAACGATGCATCAGCTGGCCCTTCATATTCAGATCTGTATCGCGACGCATTGACGGACTATCTCGAGGAGAAAACGAACAAGGGCCTTGGCACCATCCTTTTGCAAAACGATCAGGGAGTAGCAGCCATTAATCAAAAATCGTCGGAAAGCTTGTCGTTGCTCAAGCGCGCCATTCAACAAATCATGTTTCAACATCAGCCTGAGGATTCGTCCGCACCGGCATTCCTGGTATCCTATCGGGATCTTTTACTCAATGTCGGAAATCGAGCTGCCCTTCGGACAGGACATCTTGGCATTGTCTCGGAAATGATGGAAATGAAGTTTCGATCTTTGTTTGGCGACACTCTCTGGAACCAGACCGAGCGGACCTTTTTAATCTCAGGAACATCAAGTGTCGTTAACAGACACTTACAGGATTGTAGTTGGCGGGACTCGTGGATTTCAACTGCTCCAGAAGTGCGCGATTTTGTTAATCACCACATGAGATCTGTTTTGGCTAAGATGTGTGCATCAAGCATTGAGGTCGAAGGGGCGCCAATGATGAAATGGGAAGGACGGCTTTCGACCTGGTTTATGACCTTGGCGGAGACCTCTGCTGCAACAGGACCTATGGCTAGGGCTTTACAGTGTCAAGCAAGGCTCCGACCCGGATCTCATGCATACGAACAAACCATCAGGGCGTTGATTGACCACAAGGAATTCGATTCGGCGATCGCCCTCCATTCCTATGCGTACAGACTATTCGAAACCAAGAGCCCCCTCAGCACCAATACCAGCCGCCCTGCTATCGAGGAACTGGGGATGCTTGTCCGCAAACTTGCCATATCTGGTCACGATTCCAGACATTTGGACAAGGCGCAATGGATATTCGATCAGCATTTGGCAAGGGAAAAATTCTTGGCAGAATCTGGACGCGCTCCTCAAGGGCCTTTGATCGACATTCAGACCGTGACAGAGCTGGTGGGAGCATGGTCAAGGCGCGCAGAGTTTTCGAAAGCGGGCACCGTACTCGAGATCATGTGGGAGCACGGGATCCGACCCACTATGGTCCTCTACAACACATTGCTGAAATCGCTGGTAGATCTGACACCCTATTCGAGATCCGGTAGGCGGGCTATGGGGCTTGGAAAGCGGACAGAAATGCGAGAGCTTGGTCGCAAGATGATGGTCCAGCAATTGATCACGTCAAAGGATGCCGGTGGCAAGGATTCAGGAGTAGAGGATTCCGCAATGGAGCAGGTTAAATCAAAGTTAGAGGATGGGTGGAATCTCTTTCAGAGTATTGTTTCCAAGGCCGCGAAGCAAACATCAGGGAGGTTATCACTACCCACTAATGGGCTGGATGCGCCGTCGGTGCTCAAGAGGTTGATTACGCAAACAGCTATCGTCTCCCGGGCCCCCCACTCGGACGTCGTAAGACTGAATGATGGCCACTTTCGACCTGATTCATATACATTTTCGATTTTGCTTGGAGCACTCGCGCAACGGGGAGAGATCGAATCCATCTCTGACCTCTTTGTGGAAATGAAGCAGCTTGGTCTTGAGCCGGACGTTGTGATCTGCAGTATCTTGGCGAACGCGTTCGCCAAGCGGGGAGATCTCAAGGCCGTTGATCGTGTCATTCAGGAGGCCAGGATTCGCAATTTGGACCCAGGGTTGTATCTCACCAACGTCGTCCTGGATAGTCTTGTCGAAAAGGGGGTCTCTGCATCCAAGATTCGTGAGACGCTAGATGGAATGGTGGCGAGTGCGTTGCAGATGAAAGTGCAGGACCTGGATGATGAGACCGAGATTCCTGTCCGCAGACTTAGCGGCGCTCATCCTCAGCGCCAAACAAGCGCCCCGAAACGAACTCAAGGCTCGACTGATCGGTCTTCCGGGATGTCTTTTGGTTCAGAACGTGGCGTAGACGCCGTTACATTGACGACTCTAATCAAGTACCACACTCGACAAAACGACCTTCAATCAGCTCAGCATTTGCTCCAGCTGATGGTTCAAGCCGGGCTTGTACCGGACAATCGTGCTTATGTGCTCCTTCTTGCAGCCTGTATTCGAAAGAAGGACATTACAGTTGGTCTGTCCACCGTACGCGCGACAAGAATGTATTCTAAGGAGTTTCCGGATGCCAAGGCATGGAAGGGACTACTGCGATGTGCTTTGGAGATGGAGAAGCAAGGGTTATTGGTACAGGGGCGACGTCAGCGGGATACCCTGAGCGGATTCTCAAGATTTTCGTCCAGCACAGGTTCAGCGAGTATCAATGGTAACACGATGCAGCACCAGGATGGTTATGTCATTTCTGTACTGAAGGAGCTGTCTAGCGTACTGCAGGAAATGAAAATGGACCAGACGGACCCAATGCCACGCTATCATGGTGCTGCAAAAGCACTGAAGACCGATTCTGCTATCAAGGCTTATCTTTCGGAGATTTTGACGACGTCCTGGCTTTCGACGTCGAACAAAGCGGACGAAGACAAGGATGAACAAATCTTGAATGCGGAAGTCAAGGGCAAGAATGGACTTCTGCGACGCCTGCTGAATCATTTGCTACGAGAATCTGGCTCAAGTAAAGGAGGGCCTGGATCGAAGCAGGACGAGGATGAGTTATTAGAGCAGGCGACAGCAGAATCTGCAGTCGAGATTGAGCATCGGTGTGAGCAGGCGATCTGGCTCGTGCGGTTGGTGGAATCATCGGGCATTAAACTTGGGGTGCGCTGGAAGCGGGATGTGATTGTTCCCAGGATCCATTCCCTTACAGGACGAACCCCGGCGTTAATTGTCAAGCAACTTGGTAGACAAAGAGACCTTCCCAAGGATGATAATTAAAGCTTTCTATCGCTTGTAACACAGACTTTATGGAGCGCGCTACGTTAGCCGCAATTGTATATATATCACACTTCTAAGCATCCATAGTCTCATGCATCCATACATCAATGCATTGATGCATATATTGCGTTATTTGAGTTCGTTGCTTGAAGAACCTCGGCCATCCGATTGTCGACTGCACTGCCTCCGTGGTCGAGTGATACTTATATTTCAAAACGGCGGCACAGGGATCTCGAGCGAAGGGTACCTCATGCACAGGTATGCGAAGTGTGACAAAAATCCAAAAAGAGCTTTGTTGATAACAACATGGTACGGTACATGGTGTCCAGTAAGGCTAATGGCTCTCGAAAGAAGGTACAACATTGTATGGTTGTGCATGTTGTGACGCTGCTCAATAGGCTTTCCCTACATTGGACGACATATAGATAGAAGGATTGCCAACTGTATGCAAAGAAGGAAGAATGAAGTATTGAACCAAAGAAAGGTATGGAGGAAGAGGAGAGAGATTGGGAAGTAAACAAAACGATCGAATGGTAAGCGAACATTGAAAGAGCGGATGGTCGGATTACGAAACAGACAAGCGGTAAATCAGCTTCGGTTCCTGAATTGCGGAAGTGCTCCAGAGGTAAGAATCAGATGCATAGCGATCCTCTTGGTAAAACGGCTTTTGGTAGTGGTCTACAAATGAAACTGTCCCCTTAGGGTCTGAAGAGTGAAGGTCGAAATAGGACCGGACTCAGAGCGTGAAGTGGAGAAGGAAGAGGTAAAAGGACCTGCCATGTTTGTATGAATTGAGAGTGGAGTGAGAGCGATGCAGAAAAATAAAAATTAGAAAACCTTAGTTATATTACATGTCTTTTGCCGCCGTCTGCGGGGGCGGTTCATGTTCGCTGACTACCCATTTGCAGTATACCCCGTTTTTAAGCCTGTTGCTCATCATCCCTCCTCTCTTCCACTTATTCATCATTCTCCCTCGCTCATCCCCTTCCCCTTCTCTCCTTTCTTCTACTCGCAATCGCCTGGCATCTCCGTCTCATCCCCGCTCCTACTCCTACCCACTTTTCTAATCCACAACCCTATCGATAGGATACCATCTGTAATACTCAACTTGCACAGTGTGAACTTGCCACCCTTTCATCATCACTTTCGCCATCTTCATCGCCGGTACCCAGGACTTTATTACAAACGCGCACACATCCCAAGGCATCGAATGGTACAGGTCCTATCTCCATACTCCCTTCCCCTATTGTTGTATGTCGAATTCAGCAACTGCGAGCCACGACAAGCACGACCAAACCACTGAAGGAATCAATGGCGACCTTAAGGGACACGCACGCCAAACTTGCTTTCATCTATTTGCTATCCACCTTCTTTGCCTTCAATTGTCATTTCTGTTTAGTCCAATGCCTCTCTTGCCTCTTTCAATTGGTTTAACCATTTTTACCTCCCTGCCGTTTACGATATTCCACAGGAGTTTGTTTTTTTTCGTTAAGAAAAGGTCTGACAATACTATCTGCCTCAATTTCCCTGTTCATTAGTTCACGTTCCGTTCCTCGACCACGGCTGTCATCCTTGATCATTAGACTATTTCCTATTTCACAAAGAGAGTAGTATCTCGGTTCAGTTGGTAAGATGTCCAATTAACCCCGGTTCGTTATAAAATCCGCGTGGTGCGTTTCAAAAGTGTCACACAACTGATTTCAGGAACCAAACAAATTATTTTTAATAGACTATCGTCCACTCCAACACATCATGACTTCAAACACAGGCGTACAGTCGAGGCTCGGTCTTGGAGGCGTGAGCGGTTTGGCATCCTCACTTCGGTCTACTGTCTCAGCCTCGGGAAACAACAATAACTACAGCAATAATAACAACAGCGGCCAGAGCCATAATACCGGTGGGTTCTCACGGGGACCCTACCAACAACGCGACATGGATGCAACCGTACCTTACTCGGACGATAGCACAGAGGAGGATGAGGAGTATAGCTCTTACATTCAAGAACAGGAACAGCAATTCCGAAAGCAGAGCGGTGCTCAGGGCAACAATGACATAAATAATTCTGGGAGCACAGCGAATCTTCATCAGATGCTCCGTGAGGATGACGACCAAGACCAGCAACATATGGATCTGGATAATAACAATGAGCTCCAAGCTCGTCAGAACGAGATCTTGGAGGACGATGATGAAGATTTTGACGACGAGGAGGACGAGGACGAAGATGAGGATATGGATGACGAGAGGTCAGAGGTCCTGTCATTAACTGAAGACGATATTGATTTCAATCTGGTCTATGCGTTCCATACCTTTGTGGCTACGCAGGAAGGCCAGGCCTCTGTTGTCCGCAATGATTCATTGATGCTGCTGGAAGACACGAATGTGTACTGGTGGCTGGTCCGCGTCCTGAAGACGGGTGTTATTGGATATATCCCTGCTGAGAACATTGAGGTAAGCAATTAACAGGAGGCGATCACGTTCATTAACAGTCTGCAATGGAGTCGAATTTTTGTAGTTTTGTATCTGATCCTCTTTTTTATGTGCCTGGTACAGACGCCCTTTGAACGTATGGCAAGGCTGAATAAGTATCGCAATGTTGGACTCTCAGCCCCTGCCCCAGAATGGGGAACATTTGACGACCCCATTCAACCCCTGGATGCTGCGACACTCGTGGAAAGGTCCTTAAATCGGAAATCCGTCATCTTTAACTCGCAAAACGAATATTTTGGAGCAAGCGAGACCGAATGGGATTCTGAAGACGACGGTGAAGAAGACGACGATTTGGACGAATATTACGAGGGCGGCGAAGACGCTGACGAAGGCGAGGATTCAGATAGACATGGCGAAGAGGGCTCTGAACAGGAGGATAGTCGGTCTGGAAAGACGGCTCTACAGCTGGAAGCCGAGAGAGTCGAGCAAGAAATTATGGACGAGCAACGGCAACAGGAAGAGCAGCAAAAACAGCGGCAGCAGCAACAACAACAGAGATCGAGAGGCCAACTATATGGCGTAGATGATTCCGAGGAGGAGGAAGAACAAGAGGAAGAGGATGTCATTACGAACCGCCATCGAAGACCGCTCCTGGACGAGGACGATCTCGTGTTCAGCGACGAACCCCGCAAGATCTCATTAACACCGACGATTGCACAGGACGATGTGAGCGCCGCCAGACTCCAAGCGCCACCCGGGAAGGCCAAGAAGTTACGCCTGGCAGATGACGAGCCTTCGAACAACCCTCGATCTGGTGCAGAACAGCAGAAGCAACAAGGATCCAGTCTCGGTCGGTCTGCAAGCTTTGATGCGGAGGAAGAGGACCGCCAGCAGATGCAGAAGCGGATGCAGGAGCGCACGGATGCCAAATTGGCAGCGATTCTCGGCGAGAAGGACCAGGCGTCTAGCAACCGAGGAGCCAAGGATGACCAAGAATCAGCTCAGGCAGCGGAAACCGCCAAGAAGCCCGGCAAATTCAAAAGTCTTTTCGGAATCAGCAAAGGCTCAAAGGATAAGGATAAAGAGCGTAAGGAGAAGGAGCGTCTAGAGAAGGAGCGCCTTAAGAATATGATGATCAGGGGATCTTCATCATCTGACAGCAACAGCGCTAATAACAGCGGTGCCGACGGTAATGTCAACGGCGCATCCAGACCACGAACCAACTCCGATGGATCGATAGCCTTGGCCAGTGGGCAGAACACACCCATGTCGCCCACCTTCCAGTCCGATATCAATGGAGAAACATCGCAGGAGATCATTACGCTTCGTGTATACCCCGGCAATGTCGACTTTGGCGCTTCGATGTACAAGACGGTTGTGGTCAGTCCTACAACTATGGCCTCAGAGGTCGCTAACCAGGCTGTCGTAAAGTTCAAGCTGGCGCCGGATGGCGTTGCGTCTGCCACAGACTTCTTCTTGACTGTCCGCGGTGTTGATGGTGGTAAGACAATATTTAAGCTTTTACTTTCTCATCTAGGAGTACTTCAATCTTGATAACTAACCAGAACTGCTCTATCACATATTTTTCTAGACGAGACAGTGCTGCAACCAACGGACAAGATCATGGCTATCTACCAGTCGCTCACGGCCCATCTTACAACGCCGCTCCCGCCAAACCACCGCCTCTCTATTTCTTCAGTCTCCTCCATGATGTCTATCAACTCTATTAGCTCTCAATATTCGAACCCACCCTCGACTCCTACAAGTCCCAACTCTGTACGTCGTATCGGCTCCGGAAAATCGGACCCTCACCAGCGATCGATTCGGTTCTTGCTCAACAAAAAAATCCGCAGGACTAGCTCCATCTCCTCTGTCCCCGGAACTCCGACGACCCCAACGACACCGACGACACCGATAGCCATGCAGGAAGACACTTTCTGGGTTAAGGTGATCTGCATGGCTCAAGATCTCCCGCAAACGATGCTGTTGCTGGACGGTATGGGGTCCGCCATGGACAGGAACGACCCAAGAGCGCAAGGGCAGATTACGGCTACCAAGGTTGAACACTGGTTGCCCATGCGCTCGAATTCAAGCGCCGGAGATGTGGTCTTTGAGGCTTTGGAGAAAATCAACATTCGCTCTGGGGTGGTCGATGGTGTTCCAGAACGTGTCTTGGCCGCGAAACGCAACTCGGCGCCAAATGGTGTTGTGGTTGAGTACCAATTGGGTTTGCGGTTGAACGGTCAAACGTCGCGTCGGGCCAAACAGGGCGATGAATTACACCTAGCTCCTCAGATGTCACTCGTCCGATGCTTCGAGGAACATCAGTTGAGCCCCGTCCGCCGGTCTCCTAAGGCGGATGTCGCGTCGATGCCATTGACACCTGATCATGTATTTTATCTGCGTAAGGCAGCCAAGTCAATTGATGCCGAAATTAAGTACGAGCAACAGCAACAGCAGATACAAGAGCAACAGAAGCAATCCACCAAGAAGGTCCCTGCGCCTTTGCAAGCACAGGCACTTCGATCCGGTGTAAACGACTCGCCCAAGAGTCCTCTCTTAACTAGCCCCACTGGCATGGCCAGCCCACGGTCTCTGCGTAGTCTGCGTAGCATCGAAGATATTCAAGTCAGCGACGCCAATCTCAACGGTCCAGCCTCGCCAGCATCTCCGGGTCTGCATCAAGCATGGGCAGGCGGCCGAAATATGAACGGTCCTGGATCTCCCTCGCCTGTGGGCGCCGATGGCAACATTCGGATCCCTCGCAGGACTGACTCTTCAGTCTTAGGACCCACAAGCCCCACTCATGCCAGTATGCATGATCACGCCTCGTCCGGCCGACCGAGCCCTACAATGACGCAGCAAAGTATGATGGGTTCTAGGACACCGACTCCAGACCATGTCGGAATGGGTGGTCATCCTGCGGGAGGACGCAACAGATCGCCGAGTGTCAGTCAGGGCATGCGTCCAGGCCAGGCTCCCTCACCAGCACCTTCAACCGAACAGGAGAATTTGCGGTCCTCAACTCCTGAGAGGCCTGCGCGTGCCGAACGACAGCGTGCAACCTCGCCGTCCATGACACATGGTCCCTCTCCTTTGTCCTTGACAGCCATGATGCTCCAAGACAGTAACACAAACGGCGCAGCGAATGTAACAGCAGATTTGGGTGCACCGAACGATCGACCTCTTTCGATCGCACCCTTGAGCATCAAGAAGAATGCCACCCAAGGCATGGACATCGTTCTCAACAAGGGTGTGATCAGGTCCTCACGTTTAATGAATTCGAAGCAGTACCGGTACTCGTTTATTCCGACACAAGGAGGCGATGAAGTCGATATTTCGGAAATTATTGAGGACATCCTGGGTGAGGACGGCAGCGATGATGCGGAGGAGGAGGAGGAACTTCAGCATCTCGCGGTTGAGGAAGATTTCTCGAGTTCTCCTCGTAGAGCTGCTGGCGGTCAACCTGTACGCGTACCTTCGAACGGTAGCCGCACGGGAGCGAACACAGATCGCGACCGTTTAGAACTGCTCACCAACTCTTCTCGTGGCGGGAATACCCTTATGAAACTGGAGAGGGTCTTGACGAGAGAAGTCGAGTCTGAGAAGGCTACCACTGCGTCATTCAGATCAAGGTCCGATTCACCAAGGAGCGTGGATGGCGTCGCTATACAGAACCAGAGCAGGACATTGGATTCCCAATCCCATAGCAGCAAGCGCAATAGCGATGTCGAAATCCAAATCGCGTCGCTCGCATCAATAAGTACCAGATCGGCGTCTCCTCTGCTCGCAGACCAACCGCCATCCGCAAGGGTATTGGACGCTGTGCCTGGTTCACCACGCTCACTTCGACCGTCTTCGCCCTTTGGCATGATGGCCAAGCCCACACTGCTGTCGAGCCCCAGTTCTGTCGGTGGCAGCAGGTCCTCGCCATTGAAGGAGAGCAGCATCGCTACTGGTGGTACGGACACTATTACAACATCAACAGTCGTTCAGGATGGAAACACTGCACGTTCGTTTTCACCAATCCCAAGGCGTCTACAGTCGCCATCACCAGCATCGAGGCAGAACACAAACGCGTCCCCAGCTTCATCGCCCAACATGCGACCGATCTCGCCTTCAACAGGAGCAGGAGCAGCGGGAAGTGGACGAGCAAGTCCAGTATCTGTGCGGTCTAACTCCGCAGCTTCAATCTCTTCCATCACCTCGGCCCGCAACCGATCTGCCAGTACCAGTGTGGCGGATAACAATAATACTTCACGACTCGTCCACCTGACCCATAGCAACAGCAAGAATAGTAGCACGACGAGCCTTAATAGTACGAGCAGCAAGGGAGAATGGCTCCTGTCTTCGGATTATAATACCGGTATGCAGGACCTATTGACGCTGGTTCGAGCGGGACGGTCTAGCTCTGTGAGTTCGCTTCCTTCTTCTGGATCATCGATGCGACCTCTTATTGGCAAGGATGGAAAGATTGTCGCGTTGCCGTCAACAATCAAGGCGTCGTTACTGAGCAGCAGTAGTAGGGGTCGATCACCGTCCCTGTCACAGTTACATCAGGGGTATTTGGATACCCAGCAGGAGAAACAGCAGGGGCAGAAGCAGGACTTTGACCAGGGTGATGGAGAGAATAAGCAGCGCAATGACAGTAATGATAAGACGGCAAAGGACCAGCAGACGAGGATGATGCTGATGATGTTGAACGAGTTGACGCTCAGGGACGTGCAGGAGGAGTGTCATCCAGAGGTGTATGATTGTTGGAAGAATGTGGATGCGGACCTTGACCGGGTTGAAAGGGTGAGTTGTCGCTTTTTTTTTTTGTACAAATACACTTGATGTGGGTATTCTTTGTTAACGTGCGGTTGTTGTTGTTGTTGTTGTTGTTGTTTTTCATTCCCTTTCTTTTAGGAACTTGACGAACTGCTGGTCACTGTCAAGGCTTCAATACTCTAGAGAACGACAAGAACAAGTAGAAATGAAAGAACGCTATGAAACGACACACACACACACACACACACACACACACACACACACACACACACAAATATACACATTTGTTACGAATAAACCGCATGACCATACTACTCCCACAGTGCCAATGTCTAAAGTATCCTCAGTGCTAAATGTTCTGGTTTGCTTTGGGAGCCCCTTTTCACATATTAATCCAGCATTCTTGTGCAAAAATGATGGAATTCTACTTAGGAAACGCGATCTTGAACCCCATGGTGTGGTTGGCTTTGTTGAATACGTAGTTTAAGCCAAAGAATGATGTGGTGCGTTTTGCAATTGGTTGATCAGGCCATAGGTAAGATAGCAAAGCCAGCATTCGTCTATGCAGCTGACCTAGACCTTTGCAGCATCGAGCGCCATAGTAAAGTTGCTTCATCGCAAAGCAACAGTACTTCGTTAATAAAACCCAGCTTTGCTGCATCGTCCAGTGCGCTCAGCACCGAATGAGCTGATTCAACCAAGAGCAATTCCATTTGGTAGATTGCTTGCACAGCGGGGAGACAGAGCAGACTTTGTCAGTCGCGCACCGATCTGTGTCGCTGGAACGCGCCCAACCATTCCAAGTGAACGAAGCAGTTTCGCCAGGCTGAAGCCTGTTCTTGGGATAGACACTGGCGTCGTCTGAAATTTTAGCTTACATGCTGCTTTAGCACCAAGTATCGATGGATTCGCTGTTTCCATCCTACTCCTCTAGGCGTGAATTTCATAAAGCAAAATTGGAGAGCAGACTTAGACCTTTCATCAATGAACCCTAGAATGCTCCAGAGACTGTGATCGGCCTCAATAGCCAAACGGGGGCCTCCCGCATTGTTGATGAGAAACGCCAAACATTCCATCCACATGGTACTTCAGATATTAGAGAATTGCGGCACTTAGCCCGGTGCATCACAACAGTAGCAGATACCAGACCGATTACGGAGGTCGGAAAATGCACTTGCGTATCCAACAAATATCCCAGGAGCAAAAGCTTTGAACGCATTTTTGATTTTTGAGACGAACACGTCTGATTGGCTGCATACTTTTTGGCGCAGCGGTCCTGCGTCTCGTCGGCAGTTGCCACCAAAAAATGTCAACAGAAAACGACGCTCGTCTGTTGCCAGACCGTCAATTGGACATCACCTCCCACATCCCTCGTCGTCGCCGTCGTCGTTGTTGTCGTTGCTTGTCATCGTCATCATCAGCATGCCCCATCCTCAACTACCCTAACCGCCGCGCAACTGTCATCTCCAGACTCGATCTCAAACACTAATCCTCTCCCTCTCTACAATGACCGATCCACCCAAGCGAAAGAGCACCTCCAAGAGTCCACCCATTCTCCCTGCAGAGTTCCTCACCCCTGCGCCCCCTAACTTATCGCCACGCGTTTCTCAGTCGAGAAACACCTCCAGCGATATTGGTGTTCTCAAGCTATCGGGTCAGGTCTCGCAAAACGATGACCGTCTACCACTGCCGCACACCCACCAGACACAGGCCAGCGGCAGCGAAAGCAGCGGTAGCAGACCCAATGTGTCCATCACAGATCTTCCAGTCCTAGATGACTCGCCGGCCAACTATCCGCCAGGTATGTTTATTGCATTCCTGTAATGATTATCAATTAACTTCACATTCTCACACAATGTCCTGGATTGATATGGTCTTGCTTACTAACTGATTGCACCAGGCCATCCCTACACTCAAGTCGTTTCCTCCTCCTCCTCCTCCTCCTCGATGTCGTCGAGTCAAACAACCACCCAATATACCCAGTACCACCATGAGTCCGAATCTCAATCGACCGAAATCCTCTCCGTCCCGGTGCCGGCGTCTACTATACCTGAGAATGCGCCATATGTTGTAGAGGTGAGTTTCTCTCATTCTCATAACTCTACAAACTCGTTCTCTGAGCACAACACTTCCGGAGATTCCAGTGGCAACAGAACTAGCAGCAGTATCGGCGCCGACACAAGCGGATCCATGAACAGTCGCTCGTCCGATTCCCAAAGTTCGCATATCAGCTTCTACCAGGCCGACACTTCGACTCCCAGACATACCCCTGTCCGTACTCAAAAGTCTACGCCCTCCGATTCCGACCAGTCCCAGCACTCGCCTCTAGCCAAGATCACGTCTCAACAACAGTACAAGCATCGCCAGACGTCCTTGGAGATACATTCTCAAGATTCAGGGCCAAGCCGAAGCAACCATATCACCACTATCCCGGAGCACGAAACTATTGTGATCCAGGACGATCCCTCTCAAGCGAACGAAGCATTTGGGACTGACCCCTCTCTCGAGGAAATCGAAGCGGCATTCGGCCCGGAGACGGAGGAAGTGCACAGATCTAGCCAGGAGGCTCAAGTTCTATCCGGCTCAGGTGTGCTGGAGGCGGAAGGAATTGGTGTAATCCGGGAGAGCTTGACTTCTCAAGACATTCCTACGGCGACTAGCTCGATGCCTGCGCCTACCAAAACCAAGAAGCGTGGTGACAGAAAGTCAGCGAGTCATCCCTCGAGCACTTCCTTGGATCCGGGTGCACCAGACTACGAATACTTGACCAGCGACGATGATGATGCCAGCCGATCGACGCTAAGCAACAGGTTGGACCTTCAATTGTCGGAATCGCAGGTCAATATCTCTATTTCAGCGCGATCTCGAAGACTGTCTAGCACTTCGATTTCAGGAAACCAAAAGGACAAGCCCTCTTCTCCTCCTCCTACTACAACGCCTGCTGTTTCTCCTCCTGGTAATGAACTCACCGAATCCGTGAGCGCTGCTGCAGACAAACGATCTGCGGGTTCAGTATTGGAAACCCAAGAAATCCCCAGCTCTGTTGGTTCTGGATCACCATTCACTTCCAGAACGCGCCGATCAACACCGCCACGTTCAGAAGGTAGGACATCAACGTCTTCTCGTCAACTTCGGTCCCCGCGGTCTCCTCACCGTGGCACTTCGAATTCGCAAGACCTGCCTTCGTCGCAAGCAAGCAGCTCATCCGACACGTTTATACGACGTCTGCAATCGGTGGCATCCCAGGATCACAACGATGACGATCATGTATTTACTGCCGTCCCGAAACGTCGAAGGATCAAGACCATCGAAACCGAAATCAGCACGCAGCACGTCGTTTCCTCCATTGGCGATGAATTTTGGGAGAGCTCCGAGACGGTGGCTGCTACTACTACCGAACATGAGACCCGATCTCGATCGGGGTCTCAGGATATTTCGTCTTTTCCAGAGGAGGATATTGCGTCCTTTCCAGAGGATATGCCGTCAGAGCAAGATATGGAGAATCCATTGCCTCTGGAGCCAGAGATCTCTAACGAGTCCGAACAGGAAGATGATCCCCTTAGCCTCACGAGGAGATATCAGCGAGAGGCGCCTAGTCCGCCTTTCAAAAACTATCCACAACCTCGAACAAGCCAGACCAAGGAGTTTCGCAGACGCGGTTCGTCTCAACATTCTCCGCCGTCTACACCAACTCGGCGCACTACTCTGCGACGTCTCCGCTCCACAACCGAGGCAGTGCGTCAATACAAGGTTGACGATGCTGTATGGGGAGTCTGGCGCAAAATCTACTATGCTGGCGTGGTAACTCGCAAGAACACGGATAAGTACGAGGTCCGCTTCTTAGACGATGACATTAGCACCTGCGACGCCTCGAACATGAGGCCTTTGAAGCTCAGACTTGGGACCAAGGTGATGGCAATGAAGACTGAGACCATGGACTACCCCGCAATGGTCGAGGGTATTCATATGACCTCTGACCTTCAGCAATCGCGAGTGGATGTGCGCTTTGATCACGATAAAGCAGAGGCCAATTTACCATTGCGCTGTATCAATTTAAGCGAAGACATGATGGCTGAGTTGGACAAAGATATGGACTGGGACCAGGAGGCGGCACGCCCAAGTCCACAGTCTCGTTTGTTCATTCCAGAGACATCGATCACCCTATCCAGGCACTCTAGCTCTGTATCCGCTCCTCCAGGTACACCTCGCAAGAACAGAAGTCGGGAAGCAGCTTTTGAACGAAGCACCTCCATGTCCGCGACTCCAAGTCGCCGTGCCCGAGGTAATTCCGCCCAAGGTGGAGGACCATCGACCCCAAGCCGGCGTCCAAAAGGTAACGATTCTAGGCATGGTGTCAATGGCATTTGCTGTACTTTCCATTTCCATCAAAGCTATGTCAATCAATTAACTATGCGTCGCCTATAACTCTATACCTCTATGGACATAGACATTTTCAAGGGCTTGCACTTTGTTCTCACGTTCACCAAGGATGCCGAGCCAGGTCTAAGTAAGCAAACTCCCGTCTTTATATTTATGCATTGTTTGGTGCAAGATTTATCTACCTAATTTTTTAACGATGTACTTCCAAAAACTCCATAGGTCGTGAAACTGAGTCCAGAATTAGGGCTGGTGGAGGGGTCGTCCTTGAAAGTTTTTGGTCGTTTTTCGACACTCAGCGTCCGCCACTATCAAGCTTGCGCCTCATCGCCCATAAGCCGGTCAGAACCCAAAAATATCTCCATTCGCTAGCTTTAAATGTGCCCCGTATTTCTGCTAAATGGGTTGAGACTTGCAGTAAGGATGTAAGTTGTACTCGAGAGCCAAAGTGAAATTGTCCGTGGTTTATTTGTCCTGTGTCTTAATTATCGAAACCATTAACTCTAGGGCGAGCTATGGCCGTACTGCTCTTACATCCTTCCCACTGGCGACTCTACAGAGCTTGGGACGACGGTGTCTAGCAGCCCTTCCAATGACGGCGGAGTCTTTGATGGACAAAAAATTGCACTATGCGGTAACCAAAATTTCAAGGTAAGAATGATAAATAACGAAAAAGAACGAAAACTCATATGATCGTATTTCGCTCGTTGACTAAACTCGAGTGTTTTTTTCATTTCCGACCCATGATTGGTGCATATAGAATTATTGGGAGCGTCCCTTGAAGGCTGCTGGAGCCGCATCAGTAGTGACGATCACGCCCAAGACTGATACCACGGACTGCCAGGTTGATGTCATGGACTGCGGCCATATAGTATTCCAAGGTCCCAAAAACTACAAGCAATTTTGTGAGGAATACCAGCCAGACCCGGAAAAGCCAGTGGCTCGTTTATCGCAGGAGTGGTTGATCCAGTGCCTGATCAACCAGAGAGTGGTGGCTATTAAGGGACACCCTAGCTATACCGAGTTCGATCAGAGAGCTGCATCCTCATCAGCCACTGAGGGCAGCTCATCTAATGCGTGATTGCCGTCCATGAACACTTTGGCTATTGCCTTTTTGGCCGCAACAATTTGATTCCCCCATACAGCAGTTTCGGCAATAGAGTTTTAAGAAATAAAGGATCGAGTCGGCCATGCATGTGCATCATTCGTTTGCATTTGTAATCGACGTGTTTTTGTTCTGTGTCACCAGAAGGAAATACGACGCATCGCATGGTTTGTTTGCATCTAACAATCGTGTTTATCTCCTGATTAAAATGTGCGGGATACTAGTAAGGGGGACGCCTTTCTCTATGTGTTGGGGTCGTCGTGTCTAAGTTGTACAATGCTTTGGTAACGCATGCTGATCTTACAAAGTGAAATAATAGATAAAATGACAAAAGTAAGCAAAATACGGGACATTCGTTGGTCGTCAGGCGATGGCCCTTTAGTAAGAACCAACGTTGCCGCATCGATCTCCGATCGTCGTTTAGACCATGATTGGTGGCCAGGGTGCACGCTTGGGCTCGTAAGCGATCCATCCATCTGGTTTGGGGACGGAAGTGTCGTAGCGGAAGGCGTTCTCGGAGTCATCCTTGTGCTGCTTCAGACAATGTTCACGGGTGGAATCGCGTCTTGCGGAACTGGATTGGCAGTAATTACAGGTGTAGGGCTTGTAATCTGGGAAGTGCGTGTCGCGGTGACGCTTAACGGGATCCGAACGCGCACTATGGTAATCACAAGTCGGGAAATTGCAGAAGTAATGATAGGTGATCGGTTGCCCATTGGCTTGGTGTTGTGGAAGCTGCTGTTGACCAGCAACTGCTGTGTTCGGGTCCTGACCAATGGATCCAGTCGAAAAAGAAGAAGAGCTTGAGCCAGAGTAGGAAGATTCCGAGTCCGAATCCTCGAACATGCCGTTGGGGCCGTCGTGTGGGACAATTTGGTGGCTGTTGTAGGCGAGCATCTCGGATGGGGTGCAGTTCGAGTCCATAGCGGCGAGGATGTAACCTGACGTGAAATGAGCTACGGTTGTAATGAAAGTGTTTGGTCTAGTTTGTAGGGGGTAAGAGATGGGTTTGGCAGTGTAGCGAGTGAAACGTTGACGTGCTTTTTCAGTACGTGTTGAGATGGAAGCACAGCAGACGTTCTGCACAGATAAATATAAACCGAAGACTGCGTTACCTGAAATACTGGTGGTGTTGTTCGTTTTCGATTGATGAATCTGACGCGCTGAATCTGCTATTAGACGGCGAACGAATGGAAACAGTAGAAATGAATCAGTGTCAATTATTGGGAGATGAGATCGCGACGACATAAAAAAATATAACACAAATATCAAGGGCGACACGAATAAGAGAGAGGGAGTAGTTAAGAGCAAACAGATCGGGGGAGACGATGACGAAGGATATAAAGAGAACATAATAGAGATGACCGAAGAATCTGAACGAGCTCATGAGTACCAGATCGGTATGTTGCTCAGGCCGGCTAAACGCTCGTCATTGTACAGCAAGATAACATCAAGAACCGCAGAACGCAGATGATCGAAAGGAAGAGAAGTCGAAAGACATGAACAGAGGTGAAGAAAAAAATACCAGTATTGTGTGCTTTTGCTTTCCAAGCTGGAGAAAATGACGAAGCGTTGGTGGGGTTGGAGAGGGCTGAAAGTTGAAGAATGATAGCGTGTGTCTGCGTGAAGATCGTTGATATTTTGTCGTTTTGCTTTGGTGCCAGAAAATGAGATTTTTGTTTCCAAGGAGGATGGTGTACCGAAGGCGGGTATTTATACCTATACGTTTCCTAGGATTAAAAAAAGATAAGGGAAACGCGGCCTTTTGGTGTCACGAACCAGAAAAGCACGTATTGCAGGGTGCGCTTCTGCAGCTCACTCGCATCCCCGTGTGAGGATGGACTACCCTTCTTAATTTGGAGAGCAGGGAAATCTCAAACGTCGTCCGACAACGAAAGTCAGTGGAAGATAGTAGCTAGAAAGACTAGAACTGAAGTGGCTAGAGGGGAGGGGTCGAAGGAGGGACGGCAATTCAGAAGGGTCATACAAAACAGGGAGCATTTAGAGCACTGCAGCCTTAAATAAAAGGGACTAAGGCCATGTCCTCCTAGAAGCCGGAGTGCAAAAGTGTAGCTGTGCGATATATAACAAGGTAACAAAAGGGTCTAGAATGGGGGGTGCATGTACTACATGTATAAGAAATAGAACTGGAATGGGCCTCGCAACTATAATGCGGACCAGACCAACATACAGGAGGAATTGCAACAAAAAAGGAGAATGAATGAATGGAGTATCGAGCGAACAGACGGACGACCAGACGGACAAACAAGCATGAGGGGGTCTGGAGCCGTTACCATCTGTGCATCCCTGCAGATGCCGGCCTCGGACCTATTGGCGCAAAGGATTACCAAACCGGTGCTGTTTTCGAAAAAGGGATAAAATAAACTTAATTACAGACCACAGACCACAGACCACAGACTACGCCAAGACACCAAAGGACGAGCAAAAGAGGAAAGACAGTAAAGGATAAAAAAATTCTATATGATCAGAGGAAATGGACGAAACGGGCAAAACTAAGGAGGAGAAGGAGGAGAAGGAAGATGCACGGTTCAGAAATAGGCGGAGAAAAACATAAAGTGAGCAATCGAAACAGTTGTCAGGGCGGAGCACAAAAAAAAAACTGTCGTTGCACAAAGTGTACAGGTAAGATGAAACGCGGTCTCTGATTACAATGCATTACACTCTTTGCTCGCATGTCCCTCACTTCTTCCTCCACCTCCTCTTCCTCCAGGTAGCACAAAGCATGCGTCAGATGGTGGAAGGACTTCTTCGACCCAGCAGTGCACCCTCTCGCCTTTCGTTGTCCATCCCTTGGGCCTGAATAAGCTCAGGACGCGCTCATGCTCTCTTCATCAGGATCTCTGTGATATTGTTTTTCTTCTTGAGAGAAATTCATCATTGATAGGACCTTAGATCTTTAGCCGATGTCGAGAGGAAAATATACAATCAAGCAGGCACAAAGATACCTTTGGACCTTAGTTGATCTGGACCGTCGTCAAATGACAACTAAGTCCTCTCCTTTTCTTCTTCTGCTAATTTTTCTTGCCCTCGTGCGCCTTAAGAGACGAAAGTGAGGGAAAACTGCTTGGGTTGAGTTGAGGCTCAAAT